TGAATGTCCCAGCACCCTGAATGGAGCTAGTGGTAACAGAACCAGAAACTGAAAAGGCAGAACTCTGGGAGCCCTGGGTAGCAGGCACGCTGTGAAGTCCCGGGGCATTTGCAGCTCGAGCTGGGACAGGGTGTGTGCAGGCACCCAGCAGGGAGCTCAGCCGTACCCCAAAGGGAAAAGACAACACTACCCACACGAACAAGTGAGGCTCAGGGGTGTGTCAGGCATCAAATATTGGGGGAATATGAGGGGGGCAGTGAGATACTCCATTAACTTTTATAGCATGAAGTGGTCTCTGTAGAGAATATTGGAACTGCTGGGAGAGGCCAAGAGCCTTCCCTGCAGCAACCTCAAGTTACCTCTAGCTGTTCTACAAGCTGACCTTGGACTTGGCAACTGTATCAACCAAGAACTTCCTTTCTTGCTTCATGATGTGTGTGTGGGGGGGTGTCAAATCCAACTTGAATAGGGAAAACATTATTTTCCACAGGTAAGAAAGGAAGGTTTAAATGACAGGAGAGCCGAAGGAGAAAAAATAATAATATTTTTATTTCAATAGATCCAGTCTCAACCTCAAAATTACACCCACCTGTTTTATTGAGAGCCCTGAACAGAGTCCAGAGTTACAGAGGGATGAGGTGATTCAGTGAAGGGTTGGCAAATGCATTGCTCATTCGGTGTTGGCTGGGCCGCCATTGTCTGCCCAGCCTGGAGCTGCTGCCTTCCATGAAGGAACTGGGTTTTTAGAGTCCTGACACTCAAGCAACCGTGCCCCAAAGTGGAAGGCACAACAACCTCACAGTTGAATGGAATCCTCAAAAAAGGAAGCTATAATCAGGAGCCAGGGAGCTGGGTCAGTCAATAAAGTGCTGGGGTACCTGAGTTCAATCCCAGCACCTGAAAGCCCATGTAGCCATGAGTTGCTCATAATCCCAGCAGCAGAGAAGCAGACCAGGGTTCCCTGGACTTTGCTGTCCAGCCAGCTTCCCCTAATTAGTGAGACTTGGGTCTCTGGCCTCTTCACACAAGCACACATGTACACCCACATATGGGTGCACACACACACACACACACACACAGTCCATTCAGTAACCCATAGATGCAAAGTAAGAAGCAGAGATGGGGACTCTAGAGTCAGAGAGAACTCAGAGGTAGACACAGAATATTCAACTCCAAATTACAAAATGTGCAGAGTGGCAGCTGGGGTGACAGGTGAACTGGAGGAACATTTAGATTAAAGGTCACAGGCTCCAAGGCTCACGGGAGGTAGGCTGGAGCCTAACGGATCTGCTCTCGTGGTGCCCTGTGTGTCTTCTCTGTGATGCTGAGTCAGGTGGGCAGGGTCTTTTTCTTCTTCCTTGATTTTCATCTCTCTCCCTTTCTTTTGGGAGTTGGGGTTTGCCTGACTGCAGCGGGCAAGCCAAGCCCCCAGGATTCGATAGTCTGAGAAAGCTAAAAATGTAATTTTTAAAATGTAAATGACCAGAGAAGTGGCCTTCTCTGGCACCCTACCCCAGCCTCTGAGGTGGAAGGCCAGCTCCTACCTTTTCCTGTACACTCTCCTGTAAACAAGCTGGGCACATCAGGGGTCAGGACCCCAAGTGGTATGTTTGCCACATTGCATTAACTAGGCAGAACCTTTGCCTGGAACCCAGTGTGGGGATTCTATTTAGGTTCTTTTATATTTCCTCCTCATTCCATAAGCATCCTGCCCTAAGTTGCTGGTTCCTGCTGGCGGTCCTAGGGACAAGCTTGGAGGAAGCACTTCTTACTTAAAAGTACCTCTCAGCTCCTCAGTTGGTACCACCAGCCCACTACTGAGAGAGGGACCAACCTACCAGCCCTGTTTAGCAATCCATGTTGGCGGGTGAAACAAGCCAGACCCGGGTGATGGTGACATACCAACATCGGGGGAGGGTCACCCTGGACCTGCACTGTGCCACGCACCCTAGGGGGGTTATCTCAGCACACCCGACAGCTCTGTAGCTCCCCATATTGAAGCTCACAGAACTGAAGCTCAGGTTGCTACAGGACTAAGTTCCCACTCAAGTGGCCCATCAGAGGCCTCTCTTTGAACTTATCTCGTAATGCACCGGCGAATGTCAGCACTTAGCCAACACCATGCCAGACATTCACCAAGCTGACACCTAACGAATGCTTGACAAGTGTCTCTTTTTAACGAAATCAATACCCTGCACACATCATAGTCAGCTAGAGGACTTGTCAGAGAAGGTTATGGGACCCTACCAGCACAGTTTCTGATTGGATAAGTCTGTAGACTTGGAAGTAAGTGCTAGCACCCACACTGACCCACATCGTACTGCGAGTCCATTGCTCTAAAGAGGCTCATTGCTTCAGTATACATTGTCTGAATCACTAAACCCCAAGGCTGGAAACCCGAGCTGAGCATCAGTAAATTGTTCAGGTCTGATGCTCACTGTGGCTGCCCCACCACGCACAGCTGTAGGGTGCTTCACTCGCTTCCTGTTGCTACGAAACTAAAGTCGGGGCTTGGGAAATAGCACAGTCAGTAAAGCGCTTTTCATGTAAGCATGAAGACCCGAGTTCAGTTCTCAGAACTGGTGTACAATGTTGGAAATAGTAGCATGTAGCTGTAAGTCTAACGCTGGGAAGGCAGAGGCAGAGAGATCCCTGTGAGTCATTGGCCAGGCAGTGTAGCCCAATTCTCGGCCAGTGAGAGATCTTAGCTCAGAAGGTAAAGCAGGTAGTGCTTGAGGAATGGCAGGGAGGTTGTGCTCTTGCCTTAACATTCTTGCATGCATTTACACACACACACACACACACAGAGAGAGAGAGAGACAGACAGAGAGAGAGAGAGAGAGAGAGAGAGAGAGAGAGAGAGAGAGAGAGAGAGAGAGGAGAGTCTGAATTTTTTATTTCCCTTTTATTAAGGTTGACACGGCCACATATGATGCGTAGATACTGAATTGGATGGAAAGCTCTAAACAGAAAAAGAAAAGAAACTTGTCTCTTGCAGGGTAAAGGGTTAGCCTCAGGAGCAACTAAGTTGCATTAAGCAGCTGCTCTTACTACAAAGTATCTGCTTTGCTCTGAAGGGTTGTGTCCATCCTTTCAATGTCGGGCTTTCTGCTTTGGTCTGTTGGGATTGGAGGGATCCCTGAAGACAGAGGTCTGGCTTACTTCTCCCCTGCACCCTCACAGTGCTCATGAGCACCAAGGCCAGGACTGCTTGATCAAGGTCAGGTAGAAAGGAGCAGGGTCCTAGAGCTGCCTTTCCCAGCCATGCCAGTAAAGGCTGGGAAGCCTCAACCACGGCTGGTGATAGGGTGGTGGGATGTGAGGCGCTTATGCTGCAGAGGACCACACAGGGGTCCTGATGCTGTGCTTAGGTGTGGGTGAGTCCATGGTGAGGATTCCAGCCATTGTACACGTACCGCAGCACCCAGGCTTGGCTTCTGCAGGTGGCTCCCATGGGAATTTCCCAGATCAAAGGAGGTTCCTCTGGGGGAGGGAGCGAAGATGACATATGACTATCTGAGCTCCTGCAAGGCACCCCGGACTTGTGTTTACAATCCAAACTGTGGCTTGAGGGGGAACATACGGGGAAAAGCATACACCCAGTTTTCCTGGTGCCTCCTCCCTCCCAAGCAAAAAACAAGGTGGTTTGTGTCTCGTCACTTGGATCCAAATATTCTCCATTAGATACTGGGTCAGGCTTTCCTTTATCTGATTCTGCTCAATGCAAGTAACCTCCTCCTACTAGTGGGTCTCAGTTTGTCCTCCTGTAGAACGGGGAGAATGTGATTAAGCTAGATCCTTGCTACTCAGAGCACAGCCCATTGCCCAGCTGTGCTGGCCTCACTTGGAAGCTTATTAGCAAGGCTCAGTCAGAACCAGATATAGGCACATGTGTGCCATCCCAGTACGTGGAAGGACACATCGTGACTCTGAGACCGGCTTGAGCTATATAGACCCTGTTCTCCTCCCTCCCCCCCCCCCAAAAAAATAAATGCTGAGTGATAGCACACATTTGTTCATTTGTTCTAGCATTTGGGAGGTAGAGGGAAACAGACATTACAGTCAAGGTCATCCTCTGATACACAGTGAATTTGAGGCCAGCCTGCTATACACTAGAACCTATTTAAAAAAGGAAAAAGAAAAGAAAGAAGAAAGAAAGAAAGAAAGAAAGAAAGAAAGAAAGAAAGAAGGAAAGAAAGAAAGGCAAAACCAACCTCCTTAGATCTGCCAGGTGAGCATCTGCTCATGGAGGAGTTGCCCTGGTAACAGGTACGCAGAGGGAAGTGCAGCTGGGAGAGGCGTCCCAGTCCCTTAGTCTTCTGTGGACTGGAGATGAAGGCACAGTGTTTCATCTTAGGAAGCCAGTTTCGGGGAGCGGGGGGGGGGGGCTTGGCTTGGCAGAGCCACAGGGGCTCAGGTCTTTGTGACAAGGAGGCAGGTCTCAGAAGGAACATGCCCGAGAGGCCAGCTTCATGGAGCATCCTGAGGGATGCCCAGCGTTGGAGGAAAAGGGTTCCAACGGGCACCTCTCCGAGGGGCAGGCTGGACTGCTGGACCCCAGGCTCCTTTGCATTGATGTCTCCCATATTTCATCAAAGTAGATTATAGCAGTGAAGTGCTCTGAGAAGGGCAAAGGGGAGCTCCAGACTAAGGGACTTCCCAGGGTCTCAACTTCCTGTTTCCCTAAGATTCGGATCAGGATTCCATCTGTTAACTCTCCCGTCTCCTTTCTTAGGGTGCTGCTTCCAGACCAGGTGGCACCACAGGGTCTTTTTTTTTTAAAAATTATTTTTATTTCATGGATATTGGTGTTTTTGCCTGAATGTATATCTGTATGAGGGTGTTGGATCCCTGGAACTGGAGTTTCAGACAGTGTTGAGTTGCCATGTCGGTGCTAGGAATTGAATCTGGGTCCTCTGGAAGAGCAGCTTGGGCTCTTAACTGCTAAGTCATCGCCCCACTCCAGCCCTGGATCTTTTAACACGCTGCTTTCTCTACAGATGACAACCTGGGACTCCAGGACAGCCATGGAAGGATGCGCAAAGCCCCTGTACCTGGGAGTCGTGGCTCTTGCTCCTCTGTTGATCCCTGAATCTCCAAGGCTGGTATGGCTTCTGGACTTGGGAACACCACCCATCTGGAACTTGGCCTGTTACTGTGAAGACGTATAATGCCCTGGGGTGCAGGTCTCCTGAGGAAGGACGTGATTCTTCTTACACGTCGATGGGGTTCCCACACTCTTGAGAGGACAAGCCAGCTGAGCCCATCATGACCAATGTCCCAGCAACCCTTGAGCCTGACCAGTGCACCCTCGACTGGCCTGTAGCTGCTGGCTATTCCCAGAAGTCCCAAGCATCGTTCCCCGTGAGCCGTTCTAATGCCTTCCACAGCCAAAACCTGCTTCAAGCCTGTCTTACCAATCAAGAAGCTGCATTCCCACCCTGCTGCCAGGAGTTTCAGATGAACACACTGTCCTTCTAGGTGAACGGTTCACAAGAATGACCCAGGCGTCTGTAGGAGCTACTGCAGCTGGACTGTATCCAGGTCCTGAGACCCTCCCTGTACAGAAAAGCCTGAAGGCTGTGCACTCTGTACGGGGTAGCTCTAGGCACAGTGACCTCTCTACTTCCTGTGGCTCAGACACTGGCAAGGACACATCTAAAGGTTTAATGTCAGGGTGCTGGGCATCCTTCCCTTCTGTTGGAAGTGTCCTCACATCCATCCACGAAGCGAAACAACCTTTGCCACTTGACCTCAGAGGAGCTTGGACTCTGTGCAGAAGTCTGAGATCCTCACGAGTTCAGCCGGGGAAGTAGTCCCCCACCTGGTGCTGGTGCCCCAGATTCCATCACAGTGTGATGGTACCAGTGTCCAGGTTTCAACATCCCTGGAGGAGGTGTCACAGTGAGCTTATGAGGCTCTTCGGCAGCCGATGGCAAGCTACCTTTGACCTTTGCTTTTTTTCTAAGTTAGCTGAGATCTGAGAAGAGGGCTGTGTCTCTCACCCCCACCCCACCCCAGCCCGAGGCCTGGATGCACCGCCTCCTGCCATCCCTCTTCATCTTCTGCAGCAGTCCTCCCTGGGAGCCATGGGAACCGTGGCCTCCCAGGTACCAGAGACAGGTGCCTCTGTTGTTTTGGCAGAGCCAGCCTGGGTCAGGTGGGGTGCTGGGAGAGAGACACACGGGCTTTGATTCTGAGCGGCTCCTTCCTCCCCAGCCCTCCTCCCAGCCCACCTGTGCCGAAGATTCCCCTCTCCACCTGCCTCGGTTCGCTGAGCTGGCACAAAGAGCCTCCCTGGGCCTCAGGTCAGGGGCATCAGATTAGCCACCGAGCAGGCCTGAGAGGCAGAGCTCTGGGAGCCCCTTTCTCAGGATAAAGTCTACTTGTTCTGGACACAGTCACAGGCCTATTGGGAAGGACAAGGGGAGATGGTTCAGAAACTAGGGTTACTTCCTCCCAAAGCCCAGGTGTGGGAGCACAAAGACAAAGACCAATCTCTATGGTGTTGCTAAAATCCCCTTACTGATGTTTATCCAGAGTCCTACAGTCACCTGCTGTGTGAGCAAACAGTAAAACAAAGAAATCACAGCAGATCTCTTAAAAATACAAGCTTAATAAAACAGAAATGAAATTGTCTCCTTAGCAGAAGACATAATAATAAGTCTGTTATCCAGAGTTACTTCTGGCCCCAGAGTTCTTTGTCATTTATATCACCGTTCTCAGTGCTTGGTTCCTACTATATGGGTACAAGAGAGTTACTGGGGGTCCAGCCATCTTATCTGCATGCCAGCCAGCAGAAAGGCGGGAGGGAGGGAGGGAGGGAGGGAAGGAGGGAAGGAGGGAGGAAGGAAGGAAGGAAGGAAACCCTTTTTCCTTTCCCTTAAGGGCATTGGCTGAAAGTCTGCTTTATGGATTGAAGTTAATCTCAAGGAAACTGAAGAGCGTGCTGGCTATTCTAGGTGACCAGGCACCCAGATAAAAACCAGGGTTTCTGTTACTGTATAAAGAGAAGACAGATAGGTAGCGCACACTGACAATGTCAAGTTCAAAATCAGCTCATCTACTACATCCCTGATGAGGCAACCAGGTCCACAGAAGGCGGCACACCAGCTGAGATCGGACAGCCAGCCTGTGGCATTGGATTGCCAACTTATGCTTAGTCTTTCTTGTTTCTCGGCTTACGGCTTATGTAGAAAGGCTCCCATTCCAAAGGGAGGGAGCTCGAGGAGCACTTAGCTCAGAGCTGCAGGACAGGGGCAGAATGGTGACCGAGTTGGCTTGTCCAGATCTGCCTGGCCCTGAGTCATGGTAGGTGAGGAACTACTCACAAGGTCTCCGCTCTGGGCCCGTGGGGTGTGCCTCTCCTGATGTCCTGCCATGTGTCTGTCTCCGGCCTCTCTGTGGGTGACTTTCTGTCTCTCCTGTTGGTTCTTACTGTGGGGATGCAATTCTGACCCTGTGCTTACGTTTCAGGGAGCATGCTGTCAGACTGAAGGCTGCTGGGAGGCACCATGTCTCCCTTAAGGTCGTGCTGGCCATGAACTGGCTCCTCCTAGTCGACTTCTCGGGGGCCACATCGGCAGGTGAGATTCCACAAAACCCAGACCTCCCTCAGTTACAGTCAGGCTGCTGGGAGAGGGAGATCACGGGGAGTCTCTGGGGTAGGGTCCTCGTTGAACACCTTGGTTGCCGGCAAGCCTCATCCTGCCCCAGGTTTTTTTAGGAAATGACAGACTGGCCTAGAATCATCTCCAGGTTGCAAGCTCAGCGTCTGCCCGAGCTCCATTGCAAGTGAACCTGGTTGGGAGGGTCTCCGCGGAGCTGAGACTCACCTGACGGGAGTACCTATCTCTCCAGTGCTGGGCAATTGGGAAGGGGAGACACTGTTGTAAGATATTTTGAGTTTTTAAAAGAGAACAGAAATTTGGAGTTTTATAGAAAAAAAAACCTTCCTTTTAAATGTGACCTGATAACATAAAATTTAAAGACTGTCCAGGAGAGTAAGGGGAGGGGCAAGGGGGCATTCAACTGATATTCAGCTTTCTGTCTCTGTCTGGGCTACTCGGCTGCAGAGCTCAGAAGCCCTGCCCATTTCTTGTCAGCAGATCAGGATCTGGACCCCATGAAGTCTTCAGTCGCAATGCTCACAATGCTCTGAGAGAGGGTTAGATTGTGTTTTCTTTTTGTTATTTTGATTGTTTTACACACACCTATGAAGACCTCACAAAACATACATACATACATACATACATACATGCATGCACAGACACATACATACATATATTAGGACCTCACAAGATAGCCCTGGCTGGCTTTAAGTTCACAGACCCGCCTGTCTCTGCCCCTGGAGTTCTGGTATCAAGGCTATGTACTACTATGCCCAGTTGTTTGTTTTTGAGACAGTTTATCTCTCAGTATGATCCAGGCTAGCTTCGAACCTGCCATCTTCCTTCCCCGACATCCCAGGTGCCAGGGTTAGAGACATGTGCCCCAGCACCCTACAGAGATCTGTTTTACTATCTCAATATTGTCAACTTTGTCTTGAAGTATTTTGAACTTTTTCATGTGTGTGAATTTTTTTTTCTTCCTTGTGGTGCCAAGCAAGTGATCTTTATGTGATTTTAAATTAAGATTAGAAGCACAGGACACTTCAGCCAGGCTACAGGAAGCAGCCATTAATTAATTAATAACTGGCACCTTCAGCAGGACACGGGTGGCACAGACACAAAGCTTAGAAATGGGACGGAGAGTTAATAACACTACCATGGCCACCATGCTTATCTTAAAATGCTATGATTATTCACCGAGTCTTATGTTTTTCTGTAATAACGGACCTCACACTGGACTCCATCGCCTACCAGCCCACTGGAAGAAGGAAGCGTTCTACCTCCATGGTGGATTCTTACAAAACCTTCTCAATTCATGGCTGATGTAGCAAGTAGGACCATGTCAGTGTTCAGTGCCCGAGTTCATTCACTTCTGCTCATTCAATTAATAAGGCCAAAGTGGGTGTTGACTCCAGGCTAGAAGTTGCATTTCGGTTTATCTTTTGGGTGATTCGACCTGAAGAGGAATATTCAGATACTTCCTGGGTGTCTTCTCCAACATGCCAGTTTTACAAACAAACCCTTCGGAAGGGAGATGTGCCCTCTCTGGAGCCCTGTAGTCCGCGTTCTCTGGGAGAAGTAGAAATCGCCTTTGCCACTCGTGCTTCAAGTAGCTGCAGCCTGCATTCCCTTATAGCCTGCTTCACGAGGCCTCTGCCCCAGTCAGAGAAATCAGCGCGTTGCCATGGTGATGTTTCAGGGCTGGCACAGATGATTTTCAGCTGTTCACTGATCCACATGTCTGAATACCCCCAGCTTCCACAAATACCCAGGGTCCGCCAAATCCAGTCCTGGAAGTACTGTATCTTACTTAGTCAGAGTCTCAGAGCTTCTGAAGAGTGGGGTTCATGCTCCTGATGAAGGGCAAGCCCGTAGGACCAGGCCCAACAGAGTCAGGCCGAGATGCAAAGTTCGCTGCAAACTCGTATTCCTGACAGGGAAGGACTGTGGGCTTGGCTTGGAAGTGAGGCGGTGAGACCTGAGGCGCTGTTCACTTAGCAGGAGCCCAACCTCCCCAGGAGGTTTTTGATCTGCACCTTGGACACTCCAGGTGGCTACATTTGTTCTTTACCCACTAGGAATTGACTCCTTGAGACAGAGATGTCTCTCTTTGCATCTTCCATGGCATAGACCTGGAATAGATCCCCAGCAAATCTTGTAAAAATCAAGAAGTCTCCCCAGTTGTACTAAACACTCTGGCTCTTGAGATCACTGCATGCACGCTGGCCACTTTTGGCTTCAGACTGCCTTGGGGCATGTTGAGCCAGGAGGCTCAGCCTGTCCTCAGAACAACAGCAGGTGGCTCTCTACCCTGGGGAGCCCATACAACCTGCAAAGTGTCATCTTCCTCAGCTCCTGGAGCTCAGAACAGAAAGAATAAGACTGTCCTGGATAAGCATAGTAACTGCCCCAGCTTAGTGGCCTTAGGCTGTGCCAGAGTCAGCATCTCTTATACTGACCTTGCATGTGTCACTTGGTGTCATTTGCCTACAAAGGACATGTCCAGTGGTGAGGGTTAGTGCCCTGAGAGGAGCCTATAGCAGGACATCCCCACAAGGCAGAAAAGTCCCACATCTGGCAAATGGGAAGCTAAATCAGAGAAGGAAGGGGGCTGTCCAGAGTCACGTGATAAAGTCGTGAAAAGCGTGGACCCAAACCCCAGGGTACCTTGCCTCCCAGATAAGAGCATCTCTCTAGTGTCTAAGGACTCACTTCCAACCCTGGTAGGGAAGAAATGGGTGCCGTAGAGATGTGCTCGCCCGACCCACCCATTCATTATCCTTCGCTTGGTGACGCCGGTGAGTTTGACTGGTGGCATGTCACTGTCTTGGGCAGGGGCAGCTGAATGTCCTGACCAGAACCCTGACCTGCAGCCTTGGAGCCCTGGCCATGACCGAGACTATCACGTACACATCAGTCAGGGCAGGAGTCTACTGCTCACCTCCTCGGCTACCGTCCACTCCATCACCATCTCGCAGGGAGGTAAGCTGTCCTGTCCGCCCCGCCACCCGGAGTCCCGCACATGGCTCTACCTGGCCAGCAGCTGAGACAGGCAGAACAAATGTTCCACGCATCAGCTTCAGGTCAGAGCGCCTGGAGATCTGAGACGGCCATCAACTCGGAGTGCTGAGAAATGGCCTAATCTTGGGGGAGGGAAAGAGCATTTAAAATGAAGGCACCTGTTATTCTCACCCTGACGTGCCTGATAACTGAACTCAGCATGCGGAACAATGGCATTGAACCAGATGACCACTGGGTATATCTTGCAAAGCAGATGATGGGGACAAGCAACTTCCGCAAGACAAGTGGGCATAGGCGTGCAGAGAAAATGGACCCCTTTGCCTGCCTAGAGAAATGGGGTATAGGGAACCCTCTCTGGGTTCCACTCTAACAGTACCTAAGATTCTTGTCTTCTCAGACCTCCCCGTTCTCTTTCTTCAGGCAAGCTTGTCATCAAAGACCACCATGAGCACATCGAGCTGCGTGCCCGGCACATTCTGATTGAGGACGGCGGAGAGCTGCACGCTGGGAGTGCCCTCTGCCCTTTCGAGGGCAATTTCAGTATTGTGCTGTATGGAAGGTGGGATGACCTCACTTGGGGTTCAAGGGCTGCTCTTGGGGCTGATGGGAAAGAGGTTTTCCCATAGAGAGGGAGAGGAGAGGTCTGGACTTCTCTAGCGGACAGGAACCCCCCTTGTGTCCCACTAGACTGTAACCGTGAACAAGATAGACATGGTGAAGTGGGTGAGCATCGTGGTGTGGATGGAGTGTGGATGGAGCAGCTGCATCACAGAAGCTTCTGGCAGTAGCTTTCCGGTCATTCCATGACCCTGAAAAGAGGTTGCTTAGTGCTGGAAAGGACAGGGTGCAATGCTTCGCAGGGAAGTGTGAGCAAACACCGTTCACCAAGGACAGACCAGAGAAATTATTCTACCCAAGTCTAGCTTGGGGAACCTCTAGGTTTATTGGGGCTACCTATAAAAACACAGGTGATTCGGAGTAACTGCATCTTCTAAAAGCCACAACAGCATGGGTGCTGACTCATGAAAACTGTAGCCATGGAGCTTCCAGTCCAACAGGCAGGCAATTCCACGAGAGAGTTCCATTCACCTCAGCAATTGCTTACGGCTTGTGTCTAACCATTGAGAGCTTCTGAGCCTTCTGGCTTTCCTTAGGTTTCTGGGTCTTAGGAGCACTGCTGACTTTCCAGGAGGGGAAAGCAAGCACAAGACACAGGAATTTCCCCCGTGGCTTTCTCTTCTGGTTGTGACCCCTTTTTAAGCTATCGAAAGTTCTAAGACGTGGTAGCCAAGAATGTTTGAGTGTAGGCAGGCACACGGGTGAAAGTACCTGTGATTCTACAGTCCACAAGGGCCGCAACAGAAACAGCACGGAAGAATGTGGCCGTGACCAGTGGCTGCTCAGCACTGCTACCCTGGGTGCTCACTGTTGCTCTGTTTTGGGAAAGTCAGCTTGCTAATGCTTTTCTGCAGACCTAATGTCATCACCAAAAATGCAGCTGGCTCTCTGAGGCCATAGTGGGGATCAGGGAACGGTGACAGTCCCCTCGGGGCTCAGCCTCTTGCAGAGACATGCCGGCTAACCGCTTTTCTCTTACAGGGCTGATGAAGGCATCGAGCCGGACCCTTACTATGGCCTGAAGTACATTGGAGTGGGCAGAGGAGGCACTCTCGAGTTGCACGGACAGAAAAAACTCTCCTGGACGTTTCTCAACAAGACCCTGCATCCTGGAGGCATGCAGGAGGGAGGATATTTTTTTGAAAGGAGCTGGGGTCACCGTGGAGTCATTGTTCATGTCATTGACCCCAAATCAGGCACAGTCGTCCATTCTGACCGGTAAGGCTGACTTCTCTCTATGCATGTACTCACTTGTTCAGGATCTCTCCCAGCTTGGGGGGGCTTCCCTGGGGACCGGTATGCAGCAGTGAGTGGCATTTGCACAGCAAAGCTGAATTTAACACAAATGCGTGCAAGCACACACACATACACACACCTGTAGTTAGAGATGATCAATTTTATAACATCATTCTTTTAATAAACCAACCGTAATATGTTGTTTAAAAGGATGTTAAAACTCTTGTTTAAAAGGATGAGCTTCTTGATTAAAATTCTTACTATGGTAAAGCAAAATGTTTTTAAAAAGAGAGTGGATGAGGAAAAGGCAGAAAGACAGCAAGCAGTGGCTAAGAGTCTATCACCACTACAGTATGAATCAGAGGTTACAGTTTAAGGACGCTCACACACACACACACACACACACACACACACACACACACACACACACACAAGCTGCTCCAGTGAGGGAGACACTGCCTGAGACAGTCACGCTGTCATTCCCGAGGACTTTGGAGGAGTTGCTTCGGTCTGGATTGAAGCTAGAAATCCCTGCTAAGTGTCTGAGTCTTCTCCTGGTGCCAATCCTTTCCAAAAGACATAAGCTACCACCCCAAGGAGGAAAGATGACATTAAAAACCTGAGCCCCAAGCATGTGACTTATTCTACACCCTGTGGTTATTTCTGAGGCATTTTATCTGGTGAATGAACACTATGGCCAAATCAGATCCCTCCTTCTTGGGTATCTGTACAGCAAGCCGAACACCCACACTGGCTTGCTCTGTGAAGACGGCTTCTTTGTTACAGTCTTGGGTCCTCAGGGTCTTTGGACGGCATCCCCCTTGCTGAAACAAACGTGTACTCAGGTCTCTGTGTCCATTAGACTGCCACCAGGACTAGCCACATCTTTACTGTCTCTCCCCTTTGCAGGTTCGACACCTACAGATCCAAGAAGGAGAGCGAACGTCTGGTCCAGTATTTGAATGCGGTGCCTGACGGCAGGATCCTTTCTGTCGCAGTGAATGATGAAGGCTCGAGGAACCTGGATGACACAGCCAGGAAGGCAATGACCAAACTGGGCAGCAAGCACTTCCTACATCTTGGATTTAGGTACGGTCCATCACTTGTGGTCTCCACCGAACTGACCAGGGGGGTTTGTCTCCAGCTCCACATGACGCTGAATGCCAGCACAGAGCAGGCAGGCTCACTGCTCCTCCACCCTGGAGGAATTCAAAGAGCTTGTGTCTAAAGGAAGCTTGGGTTTCCTTACAGGAACATCCCCCCTATTGTAATGCATGGGTTCCTATATGGACTGACGTCTGTCAGTCACTGACAAGTACTCAGTGACCTAAGTGAGAAACAGGCAGTAAGAGCCCTGATGGGCAGTTAAGGGCTGCTTACCCTTTCAGGGTTCCTATTGTTCTTCGGGAATTGGCAGACAGTGGTTTAGGAATTATGCAAAGTATCTCCACCCTGCTAAATACCCGAGGGAGGGAGCCTTTCTGACAAGCTCCGGTGTGTGTCCTACTTGCTTTGGATTGTAAGATCATGCCTAATATTGGCATGAGCACACATGGACAACTGCAAGGAGCCACTTGGCACACAAAGACCACATCTTCCGATCCTGTAAGCTGGTTCTAAGTTGAGATGCTCTGCCCCAAAGCTGTTAGAGAGTGTGACTCCCAATCTCCAGATACGGACAAGCTCAGAGATGATCAGAGCCTTCTCTAGCCTGTAAAGAAATATAACTGGCTGGACAGATCTCCTGGGCTGAAAGGGACACCCCGGGTCCTAGGCTGTGTTCTCTGGATGCAGCTTCTTCTGGAAGGGGAACTGGGGCAGGAAACACAAGCAGACAAATACGACAGTGATATCTTGGGGTGGCAGGGCTCCTTTGTCAGCCAACGTCAAACACGCTTTCATTTCACCACACCATAAACCCAAAAGTCAAGTTATTCATTTGCGCCCAGAGAGAGGGTACTTTGAAAGGAGTGGCTACTGAAGGGCCTCATCAGAAGAAGGTTGTGGTGGCTCCTGATGACTGGCTTTGAGTCTGTCCTGCCTTGCCACTGAGGTGTGACCACAGGCAAGTGACTCATCCTCTTAGCTTAATTCTTGCATCTGTAGAATAGGGTATCTCCGGATCTATCTTCAAAGGACGCTGGGAGAGGTCTCATGGGATAATATGAATAATATAGTTGTCACCCTGCCTGGCACAGTTCGCGATTGTTCTGTCCTTACAAACGAAGGTCGCTGGAACTGTGGGAACCTCCATGTTTCCTCCCGGCCACAGCAAGCAAGAATTACATAGACCACACACCCCCCTCCTTTGTAGGTTTGAGTGATAGGAGCTGAGCATCTAAAATTCGGCAGATGTGCTGGGAATGGTACCCTTCATTTGTTTGTTAGCGAAATAGTGAGGAGGTATTGGTGGGACTCACTTGGCTGGGCCTGCTGAGCTTGCATGAGCAGATGGAAATGAATGGTACCCATGACAGAGAACAAGAAAGCAGGCAGGGGGAGCTGAGCGCAGGATCACAGCTGGGAGGAGGCCAAATCGATGCTACAAAACCAGTGGCTCTAGCGAGTGAGCGTGTGACTCTCATGAGCGAGGAAAGACAGAGCAGGGATATGCATGCAAGGGGGGCAGGAGAGACAAGGCTTCAGGGTTGGCATTGGGGGGGGGGGGTCAACGGCTCTGTGCTGATGCCAAGGGCAATGGGGAGCCAGTTAAAGACTTCAGTAAGAGCGCGACATGGCTGAATCCTCCACCTGAGCCTGGGTCAGGAATGACTCCCCAAGACAGGAGGGCTAAGCAAAATCAAAAGCTTCTTACACCAAGATCTTTTTTTTTTTTTTTTTGCTTTGTCCTGCAAAGGTAGCTGCTGCCTTCTCAGGGGATGGGTCTTCAGCAAGAGCCTGGTTCTCAGAAGAAAGGCAGACTGATTTCACTGTGTTAAGTTTGACATGCCGCAGGGTCTCCCTAGGGAAATGGAAGCCGTAAGAATCCAAATAGTTCAAACTGAGTTATTTTATGCTAAGTTTCATGAAGTGGAGAGAATAAATGAGAAAATCTGATGAGCCTTTCTCAGATAAGCTAACTGGAGTGAACCGAGTTGGAATTCTTCCCAGAATAACTCTTCATTCAGCTCTAGAGAGGGTACCTCTCTGGGGGGGGGGGGGGGGGGGGGAGTAAAGGCTTCGGATCCGCTTCAGGGAGAAAACTTAGAGGGTCATTTTACCATTTCTTAATTCCCTACAGTATTGATGTTCAACATGCTAGGGTGATGTATTTAAGGTGGAGCCCTTACCCCAGCCACTGCATGTGACATGCTGGAAAGGCAAAGACCACTAAGGAATGTGCCTGTGAACAGTTCACACTCCCAAAGAGAAAGGGCCACGTGGTCTCCCAAATCATAAACCTTTTTCTCCTTCCCTTCCCAGCACTAAGCCAACGTATTTCATTCCTTTCTAAAGTCTAAAGCAGGTGGCTAAGTGGCCAGTCACAGTATCCGGTGCCATTTTTCTAGAGCTCAACTCTTGGAGGCAGTGGGCACACGTGGAATCGCCTCTGTCAGAACATGGCTTCTATATTTGCTGCAGGATCTAACTGGGTTTGGCGGGTGGCACCGCTGGGTTGTTGGCATGTTTGTTTGATTGTGATTCATACCCATTCATGCCAGCATTGAGTCAAAGCTGTCTCCAGGGTGCAGAGGCCCAGGCGAGCTGGCTGGTGAGGAAGCAGGCAACCCTTGTGTTCGCAAAAAAAAAAAAAAAAAAAAAAGGTTCTTGTTCTATGGGGAAAGGAAGCCCATAAGTGGATGGTAAATTCCTCTAGCAGCTAGGGAGACTCAACTATGGAATCCTGTCTTCACTCTGCCCGCCCAAGTGCAGGCTCCAGTGTGTGAAAAACCTGACTTTCTGTTGTTCTTTTTTTTTTTTTCCAGACACCCTTGGAGCTTCATCACTGTGAAGGGCAAGCCCTCCTCTTCAGTTGAAGACCACATCGAATACCAAGGTAATAAATAGATGGTGGGAGGTCCGGGCCCCTCCGCTGTCTCCCTGACCAGGGGCTGTGTGGGTTGTGAGTGACCACTCTTAGAACACAGCTGCCCATCTGCCAGGGTCCAGTCGAAACTCTGGGCACTTGAGTTACTACATTCTGAGGCAGGGACAAAGATCCATGCTGGAGGAAAATAGATTACTCCCTAGAATTTGAACATCTCCAAAGAATTGTTAATAACTTCTCAAAAAATTATTCCCTGACAAAGAAAAGCTAAGCACTGGGAGGAGGCCTCCAGAGGAACAGTGAAAGCCATAGAAAGCCATAGAAAGGTTTTGTTGTTTGTTTGTTTAAGACAGGGTCTCGTGTGGCCTAAGATGGTCTCAATTTCTTTTTTTCCTTTTTTTTTTAATTAAAACAATCTTTTTTATTTTACATACCTATTCTAGTTCCCAATCCCTCCCCTCCTCCCGCTTCCCCCACATCCTCCCACCCCACTCCCCATCCATTCCTCAGAGAGGGTGAGGTCCCCATGGGGAGTCCACAAAGTCTGCCACATCACGGGAGGCAGGACCAAGGCCCTCCTCCCTCGTAGCAGAGGATGACTTTGAACTTCTGGTCCTCCTGCCTCCACCTCCTGAGTGTTACAGGTCTACACCCCCATCACTAGCTCATGTGGCTCTGGGCATAAATATGGGCATATGCATGCTAGGCAAGCGCTCTATCACCTCAGCTACATCTGCAGCCCTGTAGAGGGTCTTCATCGTACAGCGTAACCTCTGCCGCATGCAGATGGGGTGAGAGCTGCCGGTTCTAATCCCAAGGCGGAACTCAGATCATGAGAAAGAACAGGTTCCCTCAACTCTCTATTTGACAGAAAGTTGCAACTGAGCTTTCAAAACTGACCCGCAGAAGAAAAAAAATGAATGTATTCTTGTCATTTGGAAAGAGGTTAATCTGGTTAGGGGGCTAAAATTCCTTAAGGAAATGGTTCAAGAGAACCATGAGTAAAATACAAAAATCCACTGTGAGCTGGACTTGGTGGTGCACACTGGGCGAAATCCGGACAATTGGGAGGTGGAGGCAAGAAGAGAAACTCAAGTTATCCTTGACTACGTAATTCAAGGCTAGCCTGGGCTACCTGAGATCCAGTCTCAAAACAGAACAAAACAAACATTAAAGCCAATCCAAATTAAATCAAAGATCTACAGATGTGAGGGCTTCCTCACGGAGTTTCTGCTTCCTCAAGTGTCTGTGTCTCTGACAGGTCACAAAGGTTCGGCTGCTGCCCGGGTTTTCAAACTCTTCCAGACAGAACATGGCGAACATTTCAATGTTTCTTCAACCAGCGAATGGGTTCAAGGTGAGGGGTTTGTTAGAGGCGGGCTGGTAAAACCGGCTAGCAGCAGCCCAGGCTGGGTATTAGCAAGGATTTCTCTTACACCAGCAGGGACACATTACTAGGCAGCAATGAAGAAATTGCAGCGGAGTTTGTCTTTGATTAACCAAGCCACACGGGGGAACTGTCAACAGGCTTTCCCCAGTGGTTAAGAGTTGCGTGGCTCCTCCACGGGGGCTTGTGGCATTTAGTTTATGTGTTAGATTGTGGTGTTGGTCATAGAGGCTTGCGGGAAGCAGCCATGGTAGTGATGGGCTTTGGGAGCGGATTTTTGGGTGGGTTATTATTTCTCTACATCTTGCTCACTGGTTTTGTAGTAACAGGAAACTAACGCTGCCTTTGCAAAAGGGAAGTGTCAATAGGAGCGGCTTCCCGTCTGACCTTGTCTCTGCTTTCCGCCTAGATGTGGAATGGACGGAGTGGTTCAACCATGACAAGGTACCTCAGAGCAAAGGTGGGGAGAAAATTTCAGATCTCCGAGCGGCTTACCCAGGAAAAATCTGCAATCGACCCATTGACATACAGGTACCGACCTCACAACAACAGCCAGGGAAATCCCCAAGACTCTGCTTTGAAGAAAGCTCTGTGGGCCACAGCCTTTTCTTGTCACTTGGGTGGTGTGAGTGTCTGCCTCCTCCTCTGAAGGAGGTTAATTATTCTACTCCCACCACGGAGAAGCAAAGGTTCCTTAGCTGTTGAAAGCTAAGACTCCAGCACCTGCCTCTGAGTTCCTGATCCTTATTATCAGAGAGTGCCAGCTGCAGGGGCCTGCTTGGCCCACACGTCTCTCATCTGCTCTGATGCCTTTGGGCTCTTGAGTACACGGTGGGCAGATAGGATATGAAGTGTAGCCATGCCCAGCAACCCAGAGGAAGAGCATGCCCTCAGCCCTGCTCCCTCCTAAGGAGTATAGAAGTCACCATTCAGAGTCTGCCACTCAGACTCTATTCTACCTGAAGGAGGAGATGACTGCCACATTGGGCACACACACTGAAACAAAAGATTCTCACGTACACCTCTTTTCTTTGCCCGTCGCCTGCCACTTCCTTGGGGCTTCCACTAAGCCCTCATCATGGCTGTATCATTCCCACTGCCCGGGACTGCGTGTGACATGGGCTCTGGGACACCTGTTCCATGTGGACATAATCTACCATCCTCGGAGTGAGGGTCTGTTTAAACCCCATGTCCTCATTCTGCATTCACAGTCTGTTCCCAGCCTACAGGTGGCTGTAGAGGTCCATCGGATTATTTGACTTCATGGCTCACTGCAAAATTAGGGGTCATAAACGTTCCCTCAAAACTTGGTTCCAGGGGGCTGGAGAGATGGCTCAGAGGTTAAGAGCATTGCCTGCTCTTCCAAAGGTCCTGAGTTCAATTCCCAGCAACCACATGGTGGCTCACAACCATCTGTAATGGGGTCTGGTGCCCTCTTCTGGCCTACAGACAGAATATTATATATGTAATAAATAAATAAATGTTTAAAAAAATTAAAAAAAAAACTTGGTTCCACAGGCTCACTGACTCCATACATGGGCGTCTGAATGCTATCTACAAATTTCATTCAAAAACTTGGGGGAAGGGTTTGAGATAAGGTCTCACCAGCCTGGCTGGCCTTGAACTCACTGTGTAGACCAAGCCAGCACAGGGACCCGCCTGCCGCTGTTTCCTGAGTGCAGGGATTAAAAGCAAGTAACACCCTGCCCTGTTCAAAATTATTTTAATTTACTGCTAACCATGATAATATAAGTATTTTATTATCTGCAAGCAAAGCTAATAATAATGCTTCTTTAGAGATTCTTGCCATTTAGCAGTGATAGATCTCTTCTCCCCCCCCCCTCTCTCTCTCTCTCCCTCTTTCCTTACCCAAGACTGAGGTCATTAAAAGAGAAATCTCTATAATTAAGCAGTTCCTTGAAATCATTTCTGGAGTTTGTCCCATGACGAATATCCAGTCCTAATGGGTAACGAATGAGCCAGGGCCCATTACTGTTGCCAGTACAACAGGACTCCCTTGAAGATGGAGCTGGCTCCGTGGGGTTCTGAGGTCAAAGGAGCAGGGCTTCTTGAACAGTTGATGACCTTGAACTTGGTGATGAATTCTTTGGGCCTTAGTGGGCCCCCTTAGGGACAAGTTTATAACCTGGTCTCAGCTGCTGCAGAGACCATGGAAATCGTGTCCACATGACTTGGAAAGAGCTGGAATTTAATTGACTTTTAGCATGCATATCTGGGCGACCTCCTTTCAAGCCAAAGTTGTGGCTCCATTAGGTACAAATAATCTTTCCTAAAAAGTCTAGTTCTCTCTCTCTCTCTTTCTCTCTCTCATTGGTGATACTTTCCTTCCTTATCCAAGTCTGTCTCCCTGACTCCATGGTTTCTGTGCCAAAGATGGCCACAGTGCTTTTCTAAATTGCACATCTTTGAATGACAGTCACAGTCTGCAGACAGACACACCCTGGCTTTGGGATGAGCCCCAGCTGGCAGGAACCACCCTCCTTTGAGCCTGTTCCTAAACTGTGCCCTGCCCTTGTCGCTTCTTGCTTGGCACCCCCGCTCAACTTCAAGGATACAATGGGGGCGAACGGAGGGTGGTGGAATGAGGAACAGGATGTTTGAACAAAGGCCTTTTAGGCTGGGCACAGCTAGAATGGAAGCATCATTGAAGCTAATTTATAAACTCGAGCTTCGTTTTTGCCTCTGCCACTCACTGACTTGTGATGCTCATCTTTCTTGCGCACTGTTTTCCTTATCGCCAGAACCAACGGCCTCTTCCTAGTTTCTCTGTGAGGATGCAATGGATACCGGCGAGCATGTACCTCTTTAGCTGAGGCAGTGGATCCCAAACTTTCCTACCTGTTAGCATCACCTGGGCTGCTTTTACAGTCCTGCTGCCCAGGCTGCAGCCTCAACCCACCAAACCTCAGCCTTTGAGGGGGGAGAACCTGGGCACAGAGCCTCAAGGCTCCTGGTGGCATGTAAAAACCCTTCTGAGCACCTGTGGGTTGAACGGGGTGAGTCCTCGATAAATAATTAGCCAGCTTCTTCCATGGACTCACAGTGGTAGGGTGTTCATCAGGTAGTAGGGGCATACCAGGGGTTCTAAGAGAGCCCGTGTGTGCTGGGTGCTCTTTACATGTGCACACAATGATAGCAGGAAGTCCTGTAGGACACAGGCAAGGTGTTCTTCCTTCCAGATCCCAAACCTAGCTGACTCTCTTCCCCCAAATCAGGCCACTCTGCTTCCACTCCGAGACTTAATACTGTCTTTCTTATAACAAAACTCTAATAGACAATCGGGATAATAGTCCTGGGCTGCTGTAAATAGTTTTGCAGTGAGGACAATTTTAGCCTTGTAAATAGAAAATGTGGACATTAACCAATGCTTCCCCTGCGTCATAAAAAAGTTCCCTTACTCTGTAATTTCCATTCCATCCTCAGGCCACAACAATGGACGGAGTTGCCCTCAACACTGAAGTTGTCTACAAAAATGGCCAAGATTACAGGTTTGCTTGCTACACCCGGGGCCGAGCCTGCCGCAACTACCGAGTACGATTCCTATGTGGAAAACCTGGTAAGCGGGCAGATCCTGGCTCCTTGTTGGGTTAGAAATGCAACTGTGCTCTGGTCTCTGACCTGGCTGCTAGGCACTGTGAAACGGGATGGCTGGGTCAGCGTGTGGAGTATCAAAGAGTCATAATTACTCCCACTTCGTGGTCTAGGAGCAGCCAGACTTCCCTGGAGTTGAAAGCAGACAGCAACACTCTGCCCTGTCAAACACTTTTCTAAAAGGGGTGGGCATGGTTCAAGAAGGCAGTGTGCTGGTGGACAGGGCTGACACAGACTTTCTGCCTCTTCTGTTATTTATTTCAAAGCCAGTTCCCCAGGCGGTCCTCCTTAGAAAGGACTGGAAAGGGCCACCGGTTTGTTCTGGAATCAGCATCTCCAGAAAGCAGTCATTAGGGATGGACTGGGGGTGGGGCTTACGGCTACTGTAAATAACAGTGGAGAAGGTCTATATTTGTTTTACATCTTGGGCAAAGTGGGTGTGGTGAGGCAGAGCATTGAAAACCAGCTTAGAAGTCAGTGGAAAATTCCTCTGCCCGGAGCTAATGAATGGGTCTTTTTTGGTTGGGTTTTTGTTGACTTCAAAAACCTGTAAGTACTGAGACTGTGATGGAGAGAGCCTGATGATTTGGGTTTTGGAAGGGCACACCTGGCATTTACCGATTTCCAGAGGGGAGGGGGAAGAGGTGGGCAGCCACATGTTTGCTGAGGGCAAAGGGCTGACTCTCACTCCTTCCTGTTTTGGGGTTACAGTGAGGCCCAAGCTCACGGTCAGCATCGACACCAACGTAAACAGCACCATCCTGAACCTGGTGGACAATGTGCAGTCCTGGAGGCCTGGAGACACCCTGGTCGTCGCCAGCACTGACTACTCCATGTACCAGGCAGAAGAGTTCCAGGTTCTCACCTGCAAAGCCTGTGCCTCTACGCAGGTCAGAGTGGCAGGTAGGCACCCCACTTCTGCCCAGGCTGCATGAATCTGGACATGGGTAGACCTCAAGTGAAAGGAGATGTGTATCTGTGAGCTATTCTCAGAATGCTGTGTAACAAAGAAAATGATGAGAATCTCGCTGCAAGCATTTGCTCTGCTTTGATGCATCTATACATTGTCCAGGCAGGCAGCCTAAACTGATATCTGAAATAAATTTACTTAAGATGAAATGGTTATTTTGGCTCATGGTTTTGGAGGCTTCAGTTCATGGTTTGTTGGCCCTGCTGGTCAGGACAAGAACTAGGCGTGAAAGGAGTTACTTGTCTCATGGCATCCAGGAAACAAAGAAAGAGGAAGATGATCTAACTTCTTCCCACAAAGCTAGCCCTAATAGCATCATGGCAAAGCTTTATTTAACACATGGGCCTTTGGGGGACACTATCATAGCACTGGCCTTAAGCTGTTCTATGCTGAGCCTTGCTCCAGCATGGAAACTGGGATCAGTTCCATACTATTCTTAGTCTTCCCCAGACACATTCTTCTTATGACAGAGGTTGAATGTTCCTATAGAAATGAGAGGAAAATGGAGAAATTCTAAAGTCTGGGTTTAGAACTGGCTCACACTGGGCATACTAACTTATGTCTAGAATTCTAGAACTTGGGAGACCAAGTATGGAGAATTGCATGGTGAATTTGAGGCCAGCCTCAGATGCATAGTGAATTCCAAGCAAACCTGAGCTTCAAGGTAATACCTTATTTCAAAACAAAATAAAAAAAATATGAACTCAGAAAAACTAAACAAAACTGGCATACTCTGATAACATGGTCTGCTGGCCAAAACACAGGTCAATAGAGAGCACAGCCCCTGGTCAAGTTCAGCATGAATGGTAATAGGAATGGCCCCCATGACTCACTTCCTCAAACAAAGCCACACCTCCTAATCCTTCTCAAGTAGTGCCACTCCCTAAGGACCAAACATCCAAATATCTTTCTCCTGCATATTTACTGAAGTGGTCTCTCAGCTGAACCTAGAGCTTGCTGACACAGTCAGTCTGACCAGGTAGCTTGTTCCAGGAATCTCCAGTCTCCACCTTTGGAGCCCTGGAATTATAGGTGAGCTGCTACTCACAACCGGTATTTACATAGGTGCGGGAACTGAGCTGAGTCTCCACGCTTGTGTGGCAAGTGCTTTGACCACTGAGCCGCCTCCACAGCCCTAAGTTCAATAATTTAGTAGCTGATCCTCAGTGTGGGAAGGATGGAAGGAGCTTGGCTGATTACAAATGGTTGGACCTGGTATGCTTCATTTGCCGTTTCTGCCATTTGGGACCTGTACGCACATGGGATTGTGGAGGAGAGCTGTGGATGGCAAGATAACCCTGAGGTTGAAGGACCCACGAGATGCCAGGCTCACACAGCAGAGATGGGGGGGTTCATGCTAAGGGCTACTGTTCCCACTGTTCATGCGAGGGCTACCGACTCAAACAACTGGACCAGGAGTGTCAGAGGGCTACTTGGGTGGCCAAGTCCCAAAGGATGAATGAAAGTAGGAGTGGAGACAATGCTAGACTTGCTTCGTGATGCCCCAAGTCCCTTTATGCTTTAGCATCGAAGGCTTCTTCTTCAGCCTCACACTGCCTAGTAAGAGTGGATCAGCCGCTCTGCTCAGAAGCTTTGTGTCCCCATGGAAACAAACGGCTCCTTCTGGCAAGCAGTGCCACAGAAGCCTCAGGTGGGGATGAGTATGCGTGCAAAGCTGTCTGTCCATCTGTCTCTCCTGAGCAGGCACCCACTTCTCCTCTTCCCAAAGTCCGTTCTCTGCTCTCCCTTCTCCACTTACACAGAGGACTCCGCCTGCCCATCCCTTTCTGTGCCTGCCTTCTTCTCCCACCTGGTGCATTCTATAGGGTTGCCTCCTCAGTCTGGCTGCAGATAAGGACCCAATCTTCTCGGATCCTCCTTCCTTCCAATTCCAGAAAATAGCCTTCTTCTTCGCATTTTAAGGGTTTGCTGATGAGAAACAGATGAGGTGACAAAGTGCTGGAAACACACAAGTCATCTAAAAATTAAGGTGGTTTTTTTTTTTTTCTTCAAAATTTCACCAGTATGATTCCCAGCACCTCTTGATGTGGCTGAAGTCTTCCCCTTGGCCTTTTGCTGCCCCCCTTTTCCATCGTCACCTTCCCACTCTGCCTCATAATCTCCACACGTTTAGCCACTGCCGCCACTACTTAGAATGAGTGCCATGTCCCCTGACAGCCCCAACACTTTCCAGGGTCACCCGTTCCTTCTTTGTGAGATCCTCAACTTCTGGGGGGTTCTTGCTTTTATATGTGAAGCAGAAGAGGAGACTGGGGTTGTAGAAATCAAACATCTAAGTCCACGATTTCCAATGTGGCAGCCACCAGCCCTAGGTGGCTGCTTCAATTAAATTGAAGTCAAATTAAATTCATAGAGTAGACAGGTTTTCAATGTGAAAGCCGCATGGGCTTAGCGGCTACCGTGTTGAACAACAAGGAATCAATTGTCACAGGATGTCCTTGTGGGTGGTTGGGTAGTGCTACTGTAGACTAAGCAAGCCAGTATGAGAAGGACCGCCCACTTCCCCTGACTCTCTGGGTTCGATTGGGTCTAACCTACAAGTGTACCTGTGTGTCTGTCTCCCAGAGAAGGTTTTGATGGTTTATTCTTCTCTTTTGGTTTGTCTGATTCTGTATTTGTCTGGTGGAGGTTTGCAGAGTATGGTATTGGGGTGCATGTGGATAAACTCAGAAAAATACAAAGTTTAGAGTCCCTCTATATTCCAGGTCTTCCCCGCTCCTTTCCTTGGCCCAAGGCTTTCTTAAATTATTTGGGACAATGTTGACCTGGCCAGCCTGCGCATGTGCGTGCTGAGAGGAGTGGGGTGGAGAGGGGCGAGAGATCCCCTCATCAGGAAGGGATGGAAAGAGGTGGAGAGGGTGGGAGAGCCCCTCCCCAGGAAGGGACAGAAGGAATTGGGCAGCTGCAGTTGGGAGTGGCCTGTGAAAGAACAAGGAGAGAGATACGTGGCCTCGCTGTGGACGGCAGCAGTGTGGTAAAGGTTCTGATAGGAGCCTTGCAGCAGGGGAGTTGGCTGTGACTGCGAAATTCCCACAATTCTCAGCAGGACCTGCACTTCCTTAGCCCATGGGAGTCTGATAAACACAGCCTTCTATCCACCTGAAGTCCTCCAAGCCCCCCTTACCCTCAATGAACAAAGAAAACCCTGAAACCAGCTGTTGTTGTTCATCAGTTCCTGTCACTGGTGGAGCTCTGGAGACAGCCCTGACAACTGCAGGTGTCATTTCTGTCACCCTGGCCTCCAACCATGTGCCCAGGGCTGTTTGAACACATTCTGTGGATTAACTAACTTAACGATCTAGCTACCTTTTGGGATGCGAGCTATTTTTTTTTTTAAATCTCTGCTTCATAGATGAAGGGCCCAAGGTTCAGGGAACTTAAACCATAGGATCCAGGTGCCTCTGTAAACTGAGTCACACAGCCTGGCTCTGAGCCATGTGGAGAATGATGGTCTTGGATAAAGGCAACCAGGTGGGTGAAAACTCTGAGGCTCGGATGGCAAAGGGCCTCAGGAGGCAAGACCAGCCAGCATGGTGGCAACTAAAGAGGATGGGTGGGGATGAAAGCGATGAACCTACCAGGGACCAGGGTGTCTGCCCCATCTGCCTTGGACTAGTAGAAGGAGCGGGGCTAATGTGACTGAGCCAGTAGCTCATTGTATCTTCTGGGAAGCCAGCTCTGTGCTGTACCTCTCAGGACCCAGTGGAATGCCCATCACTTTCCTTGACCCTTTCATCGGTATTGGGAGTCAGTTCTTTGACCATACCCCTCACACAACCCCAAACTGTCTTGCTTGGCTGAAAGATCCTTTGCCAGTGTCCCTGGGCATTGTCAGTAACTGTCTTTTGGGGTGTCCACGAGGGAAGATTAGTTCTGGATCCGGGAGCCTGAGACTTAGAAGACCAGGATCACAGATGCTCTTGGGGACAGATACCCAGCTTTGTAAGAGGGTCCAGTTCTCTGCATGTTGAGCAGGGGTGGCTTGGGAGAGCAAACAGAAGAGCAGAGGTTCTCCGCTGACAGAGAAAAGAGAGAAGGAAGATGTATCCAGACAGAAGCCGACATGTAAGTGGTCCCCCGGCAAGACAAAAAAAAAAAAAAAAAAAAAAGAGAGAGAGAAACAGCCTCCCTATTGTACCCCATGACAGCCATGTCCCCCAGGCTCCTTCCTTTTCAGCCACCAAGCTGTCTCTGTGTTTCCTCTGTCTGGCTTTCTGAAGCAAGTGTCCCTCAGAAGCCATGTGCGCCACTTTCAGAGACAGTCCTTGCCCCTTGCCCTGTGACTAGATTGCTTGTGAAGGCCACAGACCCAACAGGCAGGGAGATGAACCACAGAAAGAAGCAGAGGCTTCTACATACATGTCCGGAGGACCTTAAAGCAGTAAAGACACATGACCGTGACCCAAACCAAAAGCCATAGTGGGTCCAGGGAGGAAGAAGACCAGCGGTCTGCAGTTAACTCGCTTCTGATTATCTCCTCTAACGCTGTCAGACTCTGCGTGGAGCTGTTGGAAGGTGGTGAGGTCTAATAGAAGGCTTAAGTTCATTAAGGGTATATTCTAGAAGAAGACTTTGGGATACCGGTCTCCTCCTTTCTCTGTTTTATTACTGGCCGCAAAGTATATGGACTTCCTCTGGCATATGCAACCACCACGAGATCCTGCGCCATCACAGGCCCAAACGACATAGCCAGCAGGTCCTGACTTGAAACCTATGAAACTGTGAACTGAGATTAAACCTTTCTTCTTCTAAATTGATTCATCCCAGGTATTAGTTATAGTACCAGAAAACTGGCTGTCGCTATGCCTGGGACTCTTAAGGACTCTGTGGAAGGCTGACTCTATGTTGGTTATGTTATTCTTCGTTCCTATGAATATTGCCTCACATGGCAAAAAGGACTTAGAATTCTGACTGCAGTTCTGGAAATAGAAGACTGTCCTGGGTTATGTGGGCGGGTCCAATATAATTACAAAGGTTATCAGAGGGATTGAGGGCCATTAGGGAAGAGAAAGCCGTGGTAAGACTGAAGCAGATGGAGCCATTGGGAGACCGGGTCACAAACCCAGGAGTACAGGTGGCCGCTGGAATCTGAAAAAGCCCAGGAACAGTTTCGATGCGGCACCTTCTCAAGCAAGCAGCTCTGCCAACACCTTGACTTGCCCCAGGAAATTAACTTCGGACATCTAACCTCCAGGACCCTAAAAAATAAAGCTGTGGTAATTTGTCACAGATGCGACAGAAAACACGCTCCGTTCTCTTGCCCGGAGCTGTTTTCTCAGCTTCAGCGTGGAGCGATGTCATCTTGCTTCAAAGAAACCACTGTCTCACTGAGTCTGCAGAATTTTGCATTGCTTCCTTAACAATTCTGCCAGCTCCCAGGATGTGTGCCAGTGAAGGGGGAGGGCCGGGGTCAGCTCTTCCTGTGGGTGAGAAAGCGGAGGAAGGCCACTGTGGTGGGTATCGCTGCTAATTTTAACCGTGGCCTTCATACACGGGCACTCGTGGTATCTCAAGGCCATGGCAAGGGCCTCCTCGATCAAGTCAAGGTCAGAGTGAGAACCAAGTAGTGTAGGTGGTGTGGTTTGGGCTGGAAGTCCACACAGGAGAGGCGTGCTCTTTGTAATGCATCCTCAAGGGAAACAGAAATAGCCACAAGCCCTGTCAGCCATCTTAGTAATGAGCCTGTCTTAAGCCGTGTTTTCTGCACAGATGGAGAAAGAGAAGATGGGAGGGGTGAGACTAAGCGAATTTGGCTGGAAAGGGGGTGAGGTAGTGGGAGGGAGAGAATAGACAGAACACGGGGTCAAGGATTCAGACCACACAGGGCAGGGTTCTGGAGGGAGTACGTTGGTGGGGGGGGTTGGTTTGTTAGATTTTTTTTTCTCAAGGATAGCAGGGTCTGGGAAAGCTTGAGGGTTGAGAGCATCCACAACACAGATGAGGGATGAGGTGGCTGGCCTGGAAAGGACTGTCAGCTGGAGGCAATGCCTTCTGAATGTGCCACAGGATAGGGCTAGGATCCACGGGCCAGGAGAGCGCCTCCCCTGTGGGATGAAGTCAGCACAGAGCAGGATGCAAGTTCCTCCCTACTGCTCCCTGTGGTGCCACAGGGGCATGTATACAAGCCCACGGCTCTGGGCGCAGGAACACCAGCCTGCTCTTCCTCAAGCACCAGGCTGTGAATGTATTCTCCACAAGGCTACTGAGAGTAGCGCATGGGTTTGTTTGCCCTGCTCTGAAGTGGGGGTCTGCGAGGGAGAGGGTTTGTTTTGTCCGAAGAATTGTAGCTGGAAGGCAGTTACAGTGGAAGCTCTGGGGAGATTAGCGCTGCTCTCTCTCTCTTTCTCTCCCTCCCTCCCTCCCTCCTCTCTCCCCTCTCCTCTGCTCTGCCATCCTGCCATCTCTAGGCCATGGCTTTCCTCTGGTTGAGGGGTGAGGCTAGTCCACCAGGCTAGAAAGCACGAGAGGCTACTCAAGGCTACCCCTGACACTTCTACCTAGATGAAGGCAGGTGGGGGGAAGCCCAGCGCCCCTGGGAAGCTCTGGGTCAGATGGATCATGGGAGAGTCTAGCTTTGAAAATCAGAAGAATAAATATTACTGGACAAGCAACCAAATCTGTGATGGTCTTAAGACCTAAGCGTGGGTGGCTATGAACGACAGCTCCGCTCCTAGGCATGTGACCATACGAACGTGAGCATTGTTCTGTGTCGTGGGAACAAGGACCGTGGGGCCCAGCCTGAGTGAGGGCCTGGTGAAGAGTGAGTTACAACTGTGTGAGTACAGGATAGGAAGACAGTGGGCACGCTACACCTGCCAATCTGCTCCCTCACCCTCTTTGCCCTAGGGAAGCCACAGTACCTACACATTGGGGAGGAGATTGACGGTGTGGACATGAGGGCTGAAGTTGGGCTCCTGACTCGGAACATCGTGGTGATGGGAGAGATGGAGGACCAATGCTACCCCTACAGCAGCCACCTCTGTGACTTCTTCGACTTCGATACCTTCGGGGGTCACATCAAGGTAGGAATCTGCCTGGCTGAGGCTCTTAGCCCTACAGGAGGGATTAAAGGTGTGCGCCACCACCGCCTCGTGGGTCATTCTTTTTAATAATGTCAAAAAGGAGGTTGACCAAAGGAAACTGAGAGTTCACAGAGAGAGAGAGAGCTCTGCTGGCCTTTGAAGTGGGGGAGAGTCTTGTGGTTCAGACCTATGTTTTTAGGGGTTCTAGAGTCTCCAGTCCCTAGGTCCATGGGTACTTTCTGGCTATTGTCACCACGTACCCAAGACCACAGTGAGACCTAAAGGAGACAGTAGTTCTCCGTCACACAATCTACTGCCGCGCCTCCCACTCATGAGAAGGGTCTTAAGTCCCCACGACTCTGTCGCCCATGAAGCCCAAACTCTGCTCAGACTCATTCTCAACACAGCTCTCCGGGCATTGGCTGCTGGACTAGTGTTCCAGATGGTACCCGAATCTAGGGAAGTGATCTACATGTCAAACTCCAGCTCCTCTGGTAGAAGTTGGCCAAGCCTGCTTCTGACTCACGTCATTCCAGACTGTGCTTTCTGCGGAGCTCCTGGAATGCACACATTGCCTGGCGGAGCAGTTTCCCTGTGCTGTGACCACCCTCCACTCATAGGCCCCCAGAGCAGAGACTCAGGGTATCTCCAGAGAGTCAGCACCCCCTTCCTTCCTGGGAGAAGGCTTCACACAGTAAGCAGTGGTACCCTGAAGTCTTCCAGTCCCCAGCACTCCTGCGGCAGGTTTTCTGTCACCCCCACCCCCCAAGCATTTTAGGATTATCCCTTCTTCATTGGTGGCTATGGAGATGGGAAAGGAAGATCGAAGCAAGTCTAGCTATTGTCCTGGGCACTTCCAATCCAGAGTCCATTATTCTGCAGCATCTTGTAAAACCTTGCTGCACTTCCTTAGTGAAAGAGGGCCAGGCCTCGTCATCTATGTGCACAGAGCCTCGTTCATTTGTTGAGTACCCAGGAGGTACTCCGGGACAAAAGACTGGAAAGGTGATACTTCTGTCCTCTGGGGATGCAGGTATCAGTTGGGTGGTGGGGATCAGGGGCGGCCTCGGGCTCTTTTAACTTTCCCTCTCCTGTTGCAGTTTGCCCTGGGGTTTAAAGCCGCCCACTTGGAGGGTGTGGAGCTAAAGTACATGGGGCAGCAGCTGGTGGGCCAGTACCCAATTCATTTCCACCTGGCTGGCGACCTGGATGAGCGGGGAGGCTATGACCCACCTACGTACATCAGGGACCTCTCCATCCACCACACCTTCTCCCGCTGTGTCACTGTCCACGGCTCCAATGGTCTGTTGGTAAGTACCTGCTGGAAGGGCAGCCTATCTAGGGACTTAGGCCATGCGGGGAAGGGAGATCTTGGGCTGTGCCTTCTCTCACCTGCTTCTGGTGTGAACTTGGACAGACTACGGAGTCAGTCAGGTCTCCGGTTTCCTCCTGGGAGCCCTGCAGAACAGGGTTACCTTTCAGTTTGCTTGGGTAGAGGATGTGTGTGAAACATTCCTGGCTGTGTTATCCTAGCAACCCATCTGCGGAGCAGGGAGTCCAGGTATTGCCAAAGAACAGGCTGGCTTTGGGGAACTGAGCAGGCATGCGGGACACTAGCCAGGACAGCATGGGGAGCCAGCCCCTCAGTGAGTTACAGGCTTCGAGAGCTGGCAGGGGGCCATCCCCAAGAGTCTGTGTTAATTTAGGTGGGGAAATCAAGAGACTTATGGTAGGAAAAGGAAGACAGTGAGTTGGGGCACCCCCCCCCATTCCCCATATCTAGCCTGGGACAATGAGTCAGTGGTACCCACAGTAGAGTCAGAGCCTTAGAGCAGAGCCCTGGACAGCTTTGCCCAACCAGCAGATCGGCGCAACACTGTAAGCTAAGACTTCCTCCTGCCCAGTTCCCAGGAATGTCAGCTGCCAAATTAGAAAGAAGCATCTCGGCTGCCTTGTTATCCAGCTACCACATGGCTAGGGTGCCAGCTACAAATATCTAGTGACCATTCAGGGATCTCCCACCACGCAGTTCTGAGCTGAGCTGTGCTTGCCAGATCTGGAGGCACAGACTCACTGCAGCCTTTCCAAGGCGGAACCAAATTGCACTGTTTGCCATCTAGACAGCATCTGGGTCACTGGTTCTCTGAGCCAAGCAGACAGCAGTGGGGCCATATCCCAGGCAGACCCGAAGTTTTGCAGATTGGCTTTGCATGCTCTTGGAATGTGCATTTGTGCGCCGTCCTGAATGCAGCTGCTCTGGGAGCTAGCCTTTCATGCTGGTGTGTGTTTCTTTGCTGCCTGGGTTGCAGGGTTTACCAGGGGGTGACTACATTTCAGGGCGAGGGTTCAGTTGACAGAGCCAGAAGAGGCCATATAGAGACAAAGATGCTGTTGTGGTTTAGACTGCAGAGGCCCCGGGCTGGGGGATAGCAACATCCCTGGTCAGACGTGGGTGGATCCCAGATAAGTAGATCCCAGCTGTGTGGAGCACCCCAAGCTGTGTGGAGCTGAGCTGTATGGAGCCAAGAGGTGTCTCAGCAACTTGCCCCACCCCAGCAGGTCCTGCAGTGTCCCAGGAGGGCAGCGAGCTCATAACTCTTCCCCGTCCTCTGCCTGTGTAACCCCATCTTGGGACCAGCTTCCTTCATCCTCAGGCTGCTTCAGGCAGCCCCCCTTCCTCTCATTTATTCTTTTATCTTTTTTTGTAAAAAGAAAAGATTGCTTTATTTTATGTGTATCAATCTTTATATGGAATGCAGGCATGTATGTATGTATGTATGTATGTATGTATGTATGTATACCATGTGCTTGTCTGGTACCCCCAAATGTCTGATCAAGGCATAAGATCCCTGGAACTGGTACTAGCAAATGAACCCGAATCCTCTGCAAGACCAACAAGTGCTCTTAACCACTGAGCCACCTCTTCTAGCCCCTTCTAGTTCAATATCTAAAGCAGTTCTCTCTTCTGACACAAACACAATCCCTTCGGCTTCTGCTTTCCTGCATTTTGGAGACAGCTTTTAGCAGTGTGGCTCTAAAATGCCGCTTCCTTTAGCAAACCACTGCTCTTCTCTCAGCCCGTGCATCTCTTCGCTCTGATCAAAAGTCACAAACGTAGAGTCGCAGGAAGCGATGGAAACTCCCTGGGCCTCAGTTTCCTCCAGTGCATCGTGAAAATGCTGATAGAGTCGGCTTCAAAGGGCTGTTGTGAGGACGGAACCAGATAAAACAAGTGACGTGCTTCAAGGAGGACACGAAATGGTGGTAGCACCATGTGCCTCCGCATTTCTATGTGCTCTGTGTAAACATCCCTGCTTCCGGGAGATAGCAGCCAGCATATGCCTGCACCAAAAAGTAGGGCCTGTGTAGTTAGATGCTCTTGGCAAAAACTGCATGAATGTGCTCCCTCTCTGCCACTTTGAAAAATCCCAGTGCATGTTCACATACGAAGGGTCTCCAGGAAAAACTCACCAAACTGATTGCTCTCTTAGGTTGAGGGCGTCCTTCTGGCAATGTAGTGTAGCGCACCACGGTGCTGGTGGGTGCAGGGAGGAAGCCTGCCTTCAGAGGGAGGCTCCACACACGCAGTCCCCAGGATGTTAACAGGTGTAGGGTGGAAGGAAGAATTTTCCCATTGAGAGGCTTTACATACATTCTCTGCAGGGGCCACAGGGAAATGGGCTCAGTTTATTTCCGTGTGTGCTTCATGTATATGTCAAGCTCTAAGGCAGGACCTGGAACATTGCCTTCCTGTTACTGGAAGGCAATCAGTATATTCCTGGCCTGTAGCAGAAGTACCAGACTCCAGTGTGAGATCTATTCTCTTATACCTCCTTCCTTTAAGAGCAGAAGGAAGTACACCCTTCTCCACCTGGGCACTGGCTCACAGTTTATCTTTACTGTAAGTGACAGGGGGATGAAACCAACAGCAGGTTGCCACTGCCTCCATGCAGGCCGGGCCACGCATGGCTCTGTGGGGCTAACAGGTCCAGGCAGACCCTGGGCTCTCCATCTTTGGGACCACACCCTTCTCTTGGCATTCTACTAAAGATATCTGGGGCCCAGGAATGGGAAACCCAGCATCTTCTCTGCCAGCTGCACAGCGCTAGGAATTATGGGAGAGGCTTCCATTTTTTCTGGCTCACCCCTTTTCTGATGTCTTTGAATGTGCCCCCCCCCTTTTTCTTTTTTTTTTCTTCTTTTTGTTGTTTTGAGACAGGGTTTCTCTGTGTAGCTTTGGAGCCTGTCCTGGAACTCGCTCTTGTAGACCAGGCTGGTCTCGAACTCACAGAGATCCGCCTGCCTCTGCCTCCCGAGTGCTGGGATTAAAGGCGTGCGCCACCATGGCCTGGGTGTTGTCAGGTTGCATAGCTGCTCTCATCTTTCCTTTCCACTTGGGCCCAGATGTAGGACCCAGATTTTTATCTTTCCTTTCCCACAAAGCTACCTTGGTCCAGGACTCCACTGGGAGACTGAGGTACAGAAAAGGAGGGTACAGCGTATTCCAGAACAGCACCCTCTGGTCACACGCTTTTCCTCAGGCAGCACCTGACCTTAGGAGGGAGCTCTGCCTCCCCTTATCCTCTCCCCTCACCCCTTCCCACCTCCCCTGCACAGTCTCGGACACATTCCTTCCCTTTTTAGGTGGTGTTTTCTTCTGTTTCCTCTCCCAACTTCTATTTGCATATTCAAAAACTCATTAAGATCTGCAGAACAAATGACCCTTGCCTGCGCTCCAAGGCCAGCTTCTTCTCAGGAATTTTATTTTTAAATTTTTTAATAACAGCAGAAGCTTGGAAATGAAATTTCTTTTTAAAATGGCTGAATTCCGTGTGAGGCTTCCCTCTGGTATGTCTGTGTGTACATACATAAACATATGTATCTATATATACATACAATACATATTTATGATATCATACCCACCCTAGATTTCAGGAGTAAGTAACATCCTCTTTGGTACCAGGAGTCCCTTGAGAGAGCCAAAATCCCTCATTTCGAGTCCCAGTATCAAATGGCCTGGTATTTGCATAGAACCTGTGCACAGGCTCCTGCTTTAAGTCAGTCACCTCTAGGTGGCTTATGCTGCCATGCAAAGGCCTAGTAAACAGTTGGCACCCCATATCGCTTGGGGAACTCAGCCAAGGGGAAAGAGTCAGTGCCTGTTTCTCACAGGCAGTTTTTTTAACGAAATATTTCTGGTCTGAGCTTGATTGAAGCTATAGTGGAATCCTGCATATCCAGAGAGTCAACCTGATCACTGATTTCTGCTTGTGTCTGTTTAATTGAAGCATCATTCTTTGTAGAACACACAGGTTGTTGACGGAAGCCGGTTCAGACTGCAGTGACTGTGTAGTATCTTGACATACACAGAACAGTCTTAGTACCTAGAGCTGTCCATTGCTGGTCTCTGCTAGTACTAGCCAATGCCCTGACTCAGTGACAACTAAATCGAGGGTCACGTTAGTTGAAACAATACTTGACAGCTGTTTCTGGGTCTTTCATATGAATTTTCTCCTTTACGATCTCCTGCTCAGGCCCTACTAACCACAGTGGAAGACCTAAAACGGCTTCCAGGAATCACGAGCTGCTCTCGGCAGGCAAAAGAAGATGCTCAGGAAAATGAAGGGGAAATATAGTTTTGGTTTTCTCAAAGAGACTGGCTAGGGGATTACACATTATTTCTGCTCAGTGTATAAAGAAGGACAGCTCCAGAGAGAGAGAGAGAGAGAATATTTATTTAGCTGATAAGTCTATCTGTATGTATCTATCATCTACCTAGCTGCCCATCTATCTCCATTTATTTCCCTGTCCATCTATTCGTGCAACCGTCTTCTGTTTCTTACTTACCTATATATCTAGCTGGCTAGCATCTGTATCTGTTTCTCTATCATCTATCATCTCTCTTTATCATCTATCCCTATTTATCTATCTATTTATATCTATCATCTATCTATCTACCCACCTATCTATCCATCCATTTATTATAACTAATAATCAACTTCATGAAGCGTTCTGAGGAAAAACAATCTGAGCATGTTTTTAGTATCTATCACTCAAGGGATACTCAGTATGAGTAACAGAGCCAGTCTGTGGCTAAGAAAGGTGTGAATTACTCTTCCTCTCCTGCCCCAGACCTTCCTTCTCCTTTGTCCTCCTTTCCTCCTGGCTCTGCGAGAGTCATTGCTCCCTCAAGACAGTGGATTGGTCTCTGTTTCAAACGAGATGGAGATCAAGTCTGAGTTCGGTCCTTGCAAAGAGAGGGACTTGGGGCATCCAAGTCAAGTTGACATCCATTGAGCCTAAGGTTGGAACACGATAACGTGTGTAAGACTGTAAGACACTGGACATCTGACAACAGTAGCTGTTTTGGGGTGAAGCCCTTTCTGTTCGCATCGCCTCTCACAGGCCTTAAAGGATAGCTCTTCCCTGAGTGCTTGCTAGAAAAATGTTTCTGCTCGTTGACTCACTCTCAGAGAAGGGCTCCTGACCATGTGATCTAAAGTGCAGGGCAAATGGGTCGGGACAAGATAGAAAGATCTATGAGCAGAAGACGGGAGACTCCAAGGGTACCAAACACCTGGGACACCCACCTCCCTTCCCTGGGCACGGTTGCCTCCTCTGCAAAGCCAGGCTCTGATTTGGTCTTAGAGGTCTCTGCCAGCAAGAGCAGCCGAATCCCCTCCAGGCTTGTCTTGCAGGGCTATTTATAACATGCTTTCATTTCTCACTAGAAGAGAAGGAAGCATCCCACTGGATGACCTTGGCATTGGCTGAAATGCCCATTGAAGGAGTGACTGGGCTTCAAGGTCACACCCTCGCCTGTTGTCAAAGATTAAAGGAAGGAGGCTTAGGAGGCCGAGAGCTTGGTGTGGGCAGGCAGTGTGGTCTTCTCTGTGAACACACAGGCCTGAAAAAACCCATGTCCCTGCCATGGCTTTGCCCACAGAAATTTGCTATGTGAGACTACAGCGAGATGAAAAGGTCTAGACCAGTCAGCGTTCAGCTGTGGAGCGGCTTGCTTTGGGGATGGTTCTAATAGCTTTGACTGCCCTGAAGTTAGGGAGCAGGCACCTGCCATGGGAGAGCCTGGAGGTACTGGGGTTGCTCACCTTGGACGAATACTTTTCCATCAGAGACAGTTTCGTCACCCCCTCCTACTCAGTGAACTACAGAATAATGAAAGTCTGAGACCAGCTTGGGGCAGATGGGGTTGGGGAAATGGGGTGGAGTAGAGTTGCTTTTGGCATCTGACAGGGATTAGACCAGGGTTACTGAGCACCCTACAGTGAGAAAGACAGTCCCTTGTAGTGGCATCAGGGCTGAGGGCATGGCCTCGGTATTTCAGTCAGTGCCAAGGGCATTTGGATAGTGTGCAGATTTTCCAGCTCCTGGCACAGTGGTGGCTCCTTAAGAGGTGTGGGTTGATCCGAGGTCACAGGGAAGCGGGGGGGGAGATCTCACTGGGTGAAATCACTGGACAGTCAGGACTGGAAGAACACAGTAAAGATGAGAATGCTCCCACCCTCACCCACTGTACCCTGTGAGCCGAGATCATCTCCTCGGGTGTTTGAGCCAAAGCAGGAGTCTATCTGGGAGAGACACTGTCGTGAACAGGGAACTGGGACTCGGGATAGGCTCTCCAAGGATTCCGAGGCCTTGGAGACGATGGAGGTCAAGTCCAGAGCTTTGTGGTTGACAAGGTAGGCAGGCTGGTGTGAGAGCCTCCTGGTGTTGTTTCTGAGACCACACTCTGCTCTCACCATGTCTCTTCAAGATGCTCTTTCTGATTTTCTGCGCACTCTGTACTTCTGGGAAGGTGCCCCAGCAGCTGGTTCTCCCAGCCCTCTCTGGTTTTCAGCCTGGGGTGTGAAGGCATTGTGGTAGGCATCATGGACCAACACACTGGCTTGGGTTCCAGGGATTATAGCAGTGTGTTAGTGCAGACATTGATGAACCACCCCTCAGACTCGCCCCCAACTCAGGCCCTGGAGACCCTCTTTGGGATATCCTGGCAAGCTCGACAGAATCGTCTCTAGAATGAGGGTCTGGATCTCCCCCTGGAACCACCTATACACTTCTGAGCTCTCATACCTTTCCTTATCCCCTGGAGCCTCATCCCCGGCACATCCCACCAGAGAGTTCCTGTTCGCTTCCTTGTCCACCCTCAGGCCTTTACCTGGGGGTCAAGGTTGCCTCCACCCCTATCCCCAGTCTACTTAGGTCTGATGTAGTTGAGTATTGTTTCACACTCGGTGAATGAATATTTGGACACATGCACAGGTGGGTGCTGAGTGAAACTCCTGTCTTGACCCTGCAGATCAAGGATGTGGTGGGCTATAATTCCTTGGGCCACTGCTTCTTCACTGAAGATGGGCCAGAGGAACGCAACACTTTTGACCACTGCCTTGGCCTCCTTGTTAAGTCGGGGACCCTCCTCCCATCAGATCGGGACAGCAGGATGTGCAAAGTGATCACGGAGGACTCGTACCCAGGGTACATTCCTAAGCCCAGGCAGGACTGCAAGTAAGTGTGTGCATAGTAGTGTAAGTGCCCCTTACACTTGGGTCTGGGGGAGGAAAGGTGGGAGGGATGAGCGTGAACGTCCATCGTCCTGCCTCGGGACCTCTTGAAAGGACCCTTAAAAGCTTCCTGTTTACCTCTGCCTGTTTCTCAGAGTGAGGTCCCCATGGTAGCTTCTCCCTCCTCCCTGCTTCCTCCGTGAGTCTCACTAGCACTGTTTTGTCTGGAGAACTCTGGCTCACCTGTGGTTGAATGCCACATAGCATCCTGGTGGACAGGAAGCAGCTGCCACAACAGCTCCCAATACGTACCCATCAGCCTGACCACAAGAATCTCTTTCTAGCCAGAGAGGGACCCAAACAGTGTTACAGAGACACACACAGAAAGGCAAAGATAGAAAAATACAGACAGAAAGACAAAGAGACAGAAGCAGAGACACACAGACAGGAAAACAGAGACACACAGACAGAAGCAGGCAGATGGGAAAACAGACACAGAGAGATAGTAGACAGATGAAGAAAAAAAAACAGAAACAGACTGAGAGACACAGAGATGCAAAGACAGAGAAAGAAGCATAGGCAGACACACAGACGCTGAGACAGAAAGACAGACACACAGAAGAGACAGAGACACAGAGGAGAGACACAGACAGAGAACCGCATGGCTTCCTGCACAGATGCCTTCCTTAGAAAGGCTTACTTTCTCGGACCCATGTTCCTGCTTCTGTAGAAGCACAGACTGCATCTAGCCTTTGCAGTCCTGAACAGTACACAGCTTAAGTGCCCAGCCTTGAGGTGAGAAAATGAAGCCTCAAATGGACACATCGACGATTTCCCAAATCTCAGACAAGAAACTCTTCTCCACTAATACTGGTGTCTCACATGCCCCCCTTCCCACTATGCAACAGAAAGGGTACTGGTAGCCCCTTATCTGACCCTGTTCAACCTCTGTCGCTTCCCTGCAGTGCTGTGTCCACCTTCTGGATGGCAAATCCCAACAACAACCTGATTAACTGCGCGGCTGCGGGGTCCGAGGTAAGCAGAAATAAGCCAGGTGGAGCTGGCAGGGGCTGCCCTGCAAATGTGTGTGTTCAGAGCCCAAGACCACGCCTCCATGTGTCTGGAGAGAGGGAGTCTTGTGACTTGGTGTTAAATGACAGTCCTGCCTGTCACTTCATGACCCCGGTGACCGTAGCTAATGAATAGTTTGTTTTGGCTTGTGGCTTAAGGGACTGCATGCAGTCCATAGTCATGGGGAAGGTGTGATGGCAGGTGTTACTTGGGGCCGCCTCAGTGGGAGCTCATTCACATCTGGGTGGACCGAGAAGCAGAGAGAGGGGCTGGAGAGATGGCCCTGTGGTTAAGAGTACTTATTTTTGCAGAGAATCTGGCTCAATTCTCAGCACCCATATGGTGGCTCACAACCATCCATAACTCCACTTTTGGGGGAATCCTATGCCTTCTGACATCTGTGGGCACCAGGCATACACAAACATACATACGAACAAAACATGCATGTACATAAAACATTAAAACTTAAAAAAATTTTTTTAGAAAAAAAAAAGACAAGACAGGAAGTGGAGCCAGGCTATAATCCTCAAGTCCCACTCCCAATGACCCCATTTCCTCCAGTTCATCTCCCCCTTTCTAAAGGTCATATCAAGAAAGCTAGAGTCACTAGCTGGAGACCAAGTATTCAAACACATGAGGCCCTTGGGGACACTCATATCCAAGCCATCCCAGAGTGCTAAGCAACTTATTATGCACAGTAACTCTCTCTGAGTTATTTTTCCTTCGGATGGTACCTGATGCATCATCAGCATGGTAAGCTAACACCACATGATTCTGACACCAAGGCTATGCCCTGGCCTAGGGAGGAAGCTGCAGCAGGGAAGCCTCGTGTGCCCGGAGCCCCGAAGCTGGATGGCAGCATCTGGGCAACAAAGCCCCATGTTCTGCCCCAGTCGCCTTGCTCTGACACAGCTCTCCCCAGCTGCTGGTTTTGCTTGGGTCCTTGACCCTGATCCTGTCTGTTGCTCTTCCTGAGCCTCAACTTCCATATCTCCAAGGAAGACTGAGAACCCTTGCTTTCAGAACTCTTATCAGTTGAGAGTCTAACCTCTGTAGGGATCCGGTAATTCGGACAGTGGCAGATAGGGTGGGGTTGGTGTGAAGAGTGAGTGCTGTCAAGTAGTCAAATGACAAATTCGAGTAACCTTGGGTTTCTCCTATGGTCCAGTCAAGCACTGGACCATAGGGGTGTGTTTAGTAGTGTGTGGTGTCCAGGCAAGCACTGGACCACATGGGTATGTTTGGTGGTGTGTAGTGTCCAGGCAAGCACTGGACCACACAGGTGTGTTTGGTGGTGTCTAATGATGGCTTTTTCTGCTGACAGTACTGCATCCCTTCCCGGAGCCTGGGCCACTCAATCAGGAGTTCACTGACACTAATTACTGTGGCTCTCTCCTCTGCCCTGTCCCAACAGGAAACGGGATTCTGGTTCATTTTTCACCATGTGCCAACGGGCCCCTCTGTGGGAATGTACTCCCCGGGTTATTCCGAGCACATTCCACTGGGAAAATTCCACAACAACCGAGCACATTCTAACTACAGGGTAAGTCTTTCCTTGCTGCGTCACTATGGGCAGCCTGTTCATCCCCCTGCCCTTACCTGCCTGGAAAAGCTACATTCTTACCATGGGTCCAGAGCAGCCTTCCACGGCCTGCAGGTTACTGACCATGCACCACAAGTCTCTTTTGGGGGCCCGCCTTTGCCAGTCACAGCATCTGCCCAACCAAAGGAGCAAGGTGTGCCTTCACTCCAGGCTCCCCTCCCGGAGGATGCTAGGTTGGACATTGGGTTTGATTCTGTGATGCATTTGTGGGCATGAGTGATGTTGACTATAAAATTAGGTCTGGCCATGAACTGAGGGAACTTTGGACATGGTTCTGAGGTAGCATTGGCATCCTAGACTTTCTCCCTTCTTTGTGGGAAGTGGGTGACTCCATCTGTGCGGGGCTATCTCAGAAGGTTGAAACTTGACCACCTTCATTGATTGTCCCCCTTTTCTGAGTACCAGTTTGTACCCGGCTCCAAGCTAGGCGCTAGAGTAAAAGGGGGAAGGATTGGGATGCCTGGGACTTCAGTATGTCAAGAACTTTCCCATAAGGACAATCTTTAAGTCTGGAGCTGTTGGACACATCAAGAAGGTCTGGGGACAAGGCTGAGATTAAAGATGACAACACTCTGTGGACCAAGATGGTCTCTAGGACATCAGGATGGTGTCTGGTCTAATTCTTAACAGTGAAGACAAGGAAATTGGTACTTCCTGGGTTTGTATATAAACTAGACATGATGGTACAGACCTTTAATCTCAGCTCTCTAGAGGTTGAAGCAGGGGAATCAGGCATTCAAAGTCCTCCTTGGCTACATAGCAAGTTTGATGCCAGCCTGGGTTACATGAGACCCTGCCTCCAAAAAAAAAAAAATCTTTAGAAAAGAGCCTTTCTCCTCAAGTCAAACAGGAGCCAGGAAAGGCCGTAGGATGTCACTGACATCAGGGGAAAGAAAGCTAAGTTCAGCATTTCATTTGAAAGTCTGTGACGCACTTCTGAGTACACACTTGCAGCCCTGGTTTGGGGGTCTAGGACAAAAACTCTTCAAAGCAGTGTGCGTTCTGTATGTAGAATTGGCTCTGACCCCAGGTTAAACACTTAGACCCCAGTTTTTTGTCTACACCTCCCCACAGGTCACCTTGTTCCAGATCTGGTCAGAGAGATGCAGAGTGGGGTGGGCTTTCTTCATCCCTCACAGTAGTCCTTGTTCCCCTATGGGACACATTCTGAGAATGATACTGGGGTTTACTAGCATGCTCAAAGGCATGTGCCTAGGCTAGCATGTAAGGATGGCTGTGGGCAACCGTGATAGCAAGTGTACCCTCTTCCCACAGGCTGGCATGATCATAGACAATGGAGTCAAGACGACGGAGGCCTCAGCTAAGGACAAGCGGCCCTTCCTCTCCATCATCTCTGCCAGGTACTAACCCTTGGGACCACTTGTCCCTTGAGACATCTCTCCTTGCCTGCTCTTCTCCCACTCCAGCCATGCATTTCTTTGCGCAATGAGTGCTGGCTAGCTGGCAGGGAGCCGGTTGTTGAAATGCAGTACTGTGCTAGAGTCTAAACTAAGTCTGAGTTAGAGTCCAGGCTCCAGTAGCCAAAAGGAGACCAAAATCCCTAGACCCAGATCCCAGTGCAGAGCCAGGACCATAGAACAGTAGGAATGACCAGAAGAGCCATAATTACACAGACTGGGTTGGGATGCAAAGGTGATCAGAAAGGAAGCCTTCACTGCTACTTAATTATAGGCAATGTGATGGCTGGGCTGATAAGTTAAGCCAGAGTTTAGCTGAAGACCAGAGGCTGCTTTTAAAATGTTGTTGTCAAGCCTGGACAAGGTGGTATACAAATTTAATTCCATCCAGGACCTAGAATCTCTCTGAGTTTAAGGTCAACATGGTCTGCACAGTGAGCTCTGGGTCATCCAAGGTGATATAGTGAGACCCTGTCTCAAAGGAAACAAAAGTAGTTGTCAAAACTTCAGGGTCGGGGAGGGGCTGGAGAGATGGCTCAGAGGTTAAGAGCATTGCCTGCTCTTCCAAAGGTCCTGAGTTCAATTCCCAGCAACCACATGGTGGCTCACAACCATCTGTAATGGGGTCTGGTGCCCTCTTCTGGCCTGCAGGCATACACACAGACAGAATATTGTATGCATAATAAATAAGTAAATAAATAAATATTTTAAAAAAACCTTCAGGGTCATTTGCAACAGTAGGACCTCTTGTCCGGCTCCTATAAGGAGCTAGGCCCTAGAGATGGAATCTCCTGCCTCTGGGAGAAGCTCAGCCTGTCCATGCCAGTGCCTGCCTGCCTGCCTGCCTGCCAGTGAATTTCTGTGGAGTCAGAAGTATCTGAGAACCTGTGAGGAGAAACCATCTTACAGAGGCCAGAAGGAGTAGTACCTGTGTCTTCCCATGCTCCAGGTACAGCCCTCACCAGGACGCAGACCCCCTGAAGCCCCGGGAGCCGGCCATCATCCGCCACTTCACCGCCTACAAGAACCAGGATCATGGAGCCTGGCTGCGGGGTGGGGACGTGTGGCTGGACAGCTGCCGGTGAGTCTGGAAGTGGAGACACTGCCACACAGGGAGTCTTGACTGAGGAGTGAGCAAGGCACAAGGGATTCTAAACATACTGATGTTGAGCTCTCTGCTCCCCCTGAAAGACAGGAATGTAGGATGGCAGCAGACAGTGGGGGGGGGGACCCACAGCAGAATGACAGATTCACCCACACTGCGAAATGCTGGGGTATTTGTGGGGATATTCATGGCTGGTCTTTTTCGTGGTCCTTGGCTGGTCAGTACAGGAAGGGAAAGGGAGCCATGGTGCTGGGCACTCAATGTGTGCCTAAACTTTGGTTTTACTTCTTTCTCACTATACTTCTCAAGAATGCAAATTAAAAAAAAAAAAGCACAGTTCCAGCTCCATTAATGATAAACTGAAGTTCAGTTAGCGAGTGTCTCACATAGTATAGCTAACAAGGGTTCAAATGAGACTTGATGCTCTAAGCCCAACAAAAAGGGCCCCCAAACATTGCTTTACCATGAAGTCCCCAGAAGTTGAATGGTTCTCCTTCTGCAAAGAAAATTATGACTCATCCTGCTAATGAAGGTGCATCTTCTTGTCCTTCAGCAGACGTTCTAAGGAAGCTAAGTGTCCAGTGCCCAGTCTGGCTGGCAACTAGGGTTGAGGTCCCACAAATAGACAAAGTTGACACGGTCCAGAGCCGACAGCATGGTCTCTTCCAGGACTTTGAGAATTAACCTTGTGTGGTTTGTGGGAGTCTGAGGGGGGGGCAGTATGTCTAGATGCAGGCAAGGATGGGAGAGGGTACCCCTGAAGATGGGAGAAATGGAATACCAAATGGATACCACACTCCAAGTCAGGTGAGGAAGAATCACAGAATGGAGAGTGTGGATAAAACCCAGCAAGCCTTCAGCACAGCGATCAGGCATGGGTGGATGCTGTGTTTTTAGACACGCCGAGATGGAGATGCTCATAAAGCATGTGGTGAAAATGCCCGCAAATCTTCCAAAGACAAGATAGGATGAACGTCTGGCCTTAGAGTCCCCAACAGATGAGGGGATAAGGGAGCTAGGAGTGTGTGTCAGGTCGCTAGGGTCACAGCAGAACATGGAGAGACCACAGCAAAGCACCAGGAGACACCAGGGAGGAGCGAGAGAGCCTGGCACCCTAGGGTGAGCCTTGGTTGATCGGTTTGAATGGCTAGACCTCTGAAGGGGAAGCGCAGCATGCTGGAAAGGGGCTGAGCATGAAGTGTGAACTGGGGAGCTTGTAGAAACCAGGATCACACCAGTGTGACGGACACAGAACAACATAGGGATTGGGCCTTCCAGGCTTATAGGAGCCATGAAAGCCCCTGGAGAGTCGAGAAACAGCAGGTGGTGGGTGAAATAGCCCCTGGGGAAATGAGCCCCTTGGGGAGCCCTGGGCAGGGAGAGAGAAAGGGAACAAAGGAAGTGAAGGCAACCCAGATCTAAGGTCCAGCTCCTTCATGAAGCAGAACCAGTTGCCTCCAGAAACCTGCTCATGCTGACCCTAAAATTGTGCAGAGTTTCTGGGGAGCAGCCGTGATCAGCATAGTATAATTATGGGGTTTGTTCTTGCTCTTCTCAGGGACAGAGCCTCCCTGGATTTTGAGAACCTTGTAAACTAGTGGTTTGAGTTGGCTGAGAGTAGTCCCCCACACGGTCCACCTTCAGTCAGTGCTGGTCCTGAGGGTGAGAAAGCACCCCCTCCATTTCTCCGGATCAACCTCATAGGCCCCAGTGGCTCGGCCCGAGGTGAGCTAGTAAGGGAAGCCTGTGAGGCCCAGCTCTCCTGAAGTTAATGCTTCATGCCCCCAAATGCTGAGCACTGAAGACCCCTGCCAGTGTGGGGTACAACTTCTAGCTCTCCACCACGACACTTCAAGGAACACCCAATCTGCGAAGAGAAACCCGACTATCCATTTTCTGGGGAGAGTGGAAAGTTACCATTTCCTCAGTGAAACTCCTCCCTCGGTGGTCCACAGTGAGACTCCAGCGACAGAGAAGGGTCCTTCCTTCTATATTCTCATTGACTGTGGAGTGAGAGTGTGTGCTGACCATCTGTTCTTGTCCCCAGGTTTGCTGATAATGGCATCGGCCTGACCCTGGCCAGGTAAGAGTAACTGTCATTGTGATGGGCCTTCTGTGGGAGCTTATATTTGGACATCTCACCCCCCAACGTCTCCTCTCTGCAGTGGTGGAACCTTCCCATACGATGATGGCTCCAAGCAGGAGATAAAGAACAGCTTGTTCGTTGGCGAGAGTGGAAACGTGGGCACAGAAATGATGGACAACAGGATCTGGGGCCCCGGTGGCTTGGACCACAGCGGAAGGACCCTCCCCATAGGCCAGTAGGTTTGCAATGGTGGGAACTGCACTTTTCTGTGTGTGGCTTGAGTCACAGCCATGGAAAGAAGGAAGTTAGTTAGTGTTGACTCTGGATTTTTTGGCTCTCTAAGAACATGAATGAGAATGAAATTTGGAATAAGGAGAGAAGTCCAGAAACAGTATAGACTAGATGCCAACAAGTACACAGCCACCAAATACATGATATGGTCCTAGCCAGTGTTCAGGGAACATGGTATCCAGAAGAGGGGTTCTGACTCTCCATAACAACTCACATGAAGTCTTTCATCCCCTTCTGAGTATGGCAGAGAGGCAATCAGGCCACTTACAGGAGGATGAGCAGAGGTGATCAAACCTGCAGCCATGTCTCACACAGATCAGACTCTTACACCAAAACACAGACCATCGCTAGGTGGTCGCCTCTCAAGGCTGCCACGCATACAAGAAGCAAAACTTGCTCCACTTAGGCCTTAGAATTGGCTTAGTTGTCTCTTTGTGCTGAAAATGATGGTTTTTGCTGCTACAGTCAGGACAGAAACACACAAACTGAACCTTTCAATACGGGTGCATGCACGTGGGTCTCCCCAAAGATACCCTAGAGGCATACTCAGAGGCATATGCCTGGTCTTCTTTGGCCAAGCTGTCAAGAAGGCCTGGCTCCCATCTTAAGGGACGTGGTCAGCCTTTTTATTTACAAGTGGGTCTGAGTCTGCATTTCTAGAATTTCTTTCTAGGAGGTTGCCAACCTCCAGGAGCAGGATATTCTGGTAACTTCCCAAGGCGATCATGTCTATGGAAGCATGACAGGGTTAGGCAGGCTCCTCATGCTGCCTTTGAGAGGAGAGAGCTAGAAAGGGCCATGCAGTTTTGACGGAGGTATATTCTGCCTGACTAGAAGTTGATTAGGATCTGAAGCCCATGGTTTGTGTAGAATGAGCAAGAATGTGCTGACCCCTGAACACCGTAACTGGGAAAATGCACGGAAGCTCTCCCTCCACGAGAATCAGGATTCGAGGTGACGACACCATCAGTTACAAATATAAAAATATGGAAACGCAAGGGGATTTGGGGGCGAGTGGAGGTTTCTTTGGGAAGCATACACAGTAGCTGGGAGCCTGAATAGAAGACCAGGAACAGCTGGGGACAGCCTCTCTCTGGAGACAGATATTTTGTATGCTTTAACTGGGGACGGCCTCTCTCTGGAGACAGATACTTTGTATGCTTCCTTTTCCTTCTTCATTCCCTGGCTTCCTTAAATTTGCTGCAGAAGGGAAGGGAAGGGATCAAGCCAGAAGCAGAGACATGGGCATAAGCGAGCATGTTGAGATTGAGAAAATGGCAAGCTTAGATTTGTGACCAGCTCTGAGAAAGGCCACCAAGCAGGCTGACCAATCCCTCCTGGGTCATCTTCCATACCCTGCTCAAGAGTCTCAAGCGAATGGGAAGGGTCCCTCTGAGCCCCTCCTCCCTGCCAGGCAAGGGTGAAGTTTCCATGTCATTAATTCTTCCCTGGTCCCTCCGTGTCTCCCCAGCTGCCACCTCTTCCCACTCCCTTCCTGCTGCTCCAAGTATCAAGCCTTCTCAGGGGCCCTGTGTCTGTCTGTCTGTCTGTGGCCTTGCTTTTCTAGCAGGAGCAGCCTTTGCCCCTGGCCATACTTGAAAGTTACATTGTCCTTCTTTTTATCATGGCCCATGCTGTGTGGTTCTGTTCCTTCCAGTGTCCCAAAGCCCAGCACATTGCCGCTGGGTAGACTTACAGAGGAAGCTCATCTGGATCTTAATCTGATTAAATTGCCATAGCAACTAGAACTAGGACGATAATGACTAACAGTGTTCCGCTCCCGAGGGACAGAATATTGGCAGTCTCTTGAAGTATTTACAGTATTTTCCTACTGACTGGACACACTGATGGGAAGAAGAGAGAAATTATCTAAACAGAGGTCCCTGAGCCAGCGACTAAATAGACAGCTATTTATCTCCCAGACTACCGTTCATTCATCCAGTTAGCTGTCCATCATACCCCTCACCCACTCATGTGGTCACCCACGTACTATCCATCCATCTGCCATCCAGCTACCTACAAGCTCTCCATCTCTTCATCTACCCACCGTTCCTTCATCTGTCTGCCCATCCATCTACCCATACACCCAACCCAATCCATCCATCCATTTTTCCATCATCCTCCCATCCACCATTTATCTTCAGCAGTCTTTCTTTTCACTGACACTGTGTCCATACATGGCTTCCCAGTGAGCTAGTTGACTTAATGATTCTCAGTGGGGAGGGGGTTGCTGGAGGTGGGAATCGGGAACAACACGGAAAAGCTCTCACCGGTCACCTCCGAAGAAACAACAACACAGCGACCATCTGACGTCTGACTTCCTTAACTCCACAGGAATTTTCCGATTCGAGGGATTCAGTTCTACGATGGTCCCATCAACATCCAAAACTGTACTTTCCGCAAGTTCGCGGCCCTCGAGGGCCGGCACACCAGCGCCTTGGCCTTCCGCCTAAACAATGCCTGGCAAAGCTGCCCCCACAACAATGTCACCAACATTGCCTTTGAGGATGTCCCGGTGAGTATGGTGCCAGGCCAGACTCCTGGCATAGCCACACTTTGAGTGATGACTCACATGTCCCCCACAGTTTAGAGATTGAGCTGTCGCCACCGCCGCGAGGGTGGAATAGCTTCCTCTAAGTAGGCTGGACCGGGTCCCAGTTTGCTTTCTGCCCAAACTGGAAAAGTACAAGCTCAGGTCACAGAAAAAGGTTGAGTCTGGGTGGATGCCCATTGGCCTTCAATCTATGCCCCAGTAAGAACCTAGAGATGAACTTGGGTTTCTGAAGTTGTTCCTCCAGACCCCTGCCACACCGGATGTTGGGACCAGGCTACTTAAATTGGCACAGATCATCCCCCAACTCCAGCAGTGTCCAAGGGAAGTCTTCTGAAGACATTGTTTAACTTCATTCTGAAAGTAGAATGTAAACAGGGGCCTCCTGCCTGTAGATGGAGAAGGTGGAGGAGCTGAGGGTCAGGAGAGCAGGTCAAGGCTGCCTGTGGGGCCTGCTACTTCTATTCCTGTCTTCCCTCTTTGCCCACCCCCTACTCAGTTCTTCCTCCTTCTTCCTACTACTGCGTTTGCCTTTCTGCCCAGTAAGATAGGGAACTTAAGTTACTTCATTTCTTCACACAGACCCCTGAGGGCCCCCGCAGGAGGTCAGTCACAGAGATATCCCATGGCTTGCACTGTGAGGTCGTCGTCAAATCCAATGCACACAACTCACAAGCTCATACACAATTCTCACACACGGGTACCCCCTACGCACTATGTGTACACACTTTCTTGCACAAGCACTCATCCCTCACTCCTCCCCAGCTCATTCGCCAGAACGCTCACACTCACTCACTCACTCCTAAGCCCCTCCTTCATCAGGCCAGCTTCCAAGGCCACCTACAGCAGCCAAACCGTAGTGAGTGGAGCCCAAATTGTGCGCTAATTTTCGGAGTTGAGGCACAGTGACACTCTGTTTATCAGAGTTCCATGAGATGGTCATCCGTGCGGTTTCCTCCAGCACCCAAGGGCAGCCTCCGTCTGGCTGCTTTGTAATGTCAGAGGAAATTGGAAACTTTGCCCTGGCCCTGATGACGGCTGCAGTTTCCTTTCACCTTCGGGCCCAGCCTTATTTTCCTGGGCTCTGTTCAGATTACTTCCAGAGTGTTCTTCGGAGAGCCTGGGCCCTGGTTCAACCAGCTGGACATGGACGGGGACAAGACATCTGTGTTCCACGATGTGGATGGCTCCGTATCCGAGTACCCTGGCTCCTACCTCACTAAGGATGACAACTGGCTGGTTCGGCACCCAGACTGCATCAACGTCCCAGACTGGAGAGGGGCCATCTGCAGTGGGCGCTATGCACAGGTGGGGATGCCACCCTAAGCCACTTGCTTGTCCACTCACTCCTGTGACAAGGACTCAGATTGCCTGGCGTGTGTCCAACTCTATGTTGGGTCAAGAGCGAGGCAGAATTTTCCTTCCTTGCCTTTCCTGCCCCTCTCTCCCGTTCCATGGGATTTTCATGGTCTAAACACTGCCCTGGGGTGTTTCATGTTAGGGTGCAGTACCTACTAACCGCTGGCCTCCAGCTCACACCCTGGGAGCCTTGACGTCCTTGTGTGTGAACTTGAGCTGAAAGCTGAACTCGCTTTAACCATTATTTTAGGAATGATTTCAGATGATGCAAATAAAATCCCTCCTCCCATGCCTTTTCAGACATAGAAATATAATACAAACCATAACTTTCTAGGTAGTCATGTAGAAAGATAAAAAGAAATGAGACATTAATTCAATAATATTTTTACACATACTCAAAATGCTATATTTTCAATGTGTGGTTAATATAAAAATTATGGAGTAATTTTTTTCTGCTCATGGACTTCAAGCTCATGCATATATTTTATATTTCTAGCCTACTTCTTTTTTAAATATTTATTTTACTTTTGTGGTAAGTGCTTTGCCTTCACACAGGCACCATATGCGCATGCAGGTGCCCTTAGAGATCAGAAGAACGTGCCAGATCTCCTGGAACTTAAGTTAGGGATGGTTGGGAACTACTAGGTGGGAGCAGCAAGTGCTCTTAACTGCTGAGCCGTTGCTCTAGCCTACGAGCCCATTTCCTCTGATTCTCAGCAAAACTGCAGAGACCTAGCAAAACAACCAAGCTGTGTTTGATGAGAGGAAAACCTTTTTCAGTGCTCTTGTTTTGAAATGGATTGATTGATTGATGTCGTGACTCGGATCTGCATTTTGAGGTTTAAAGTAATTAAAATAGCATTTGAAAACTGGTTCCTGGGCCACACTGTTCTCGTGTCCAGGACTCAATGGGCACACATGACCCATGACTAACATGTGAAACAGTTATATAATGTTTGGAGTGTAACAACCGGAAATAATTGCCATTACCCTGTGACCATCACTGCCATTTCTTGGATGAATGACGAATGAATGAATGAATGAATGAATGAATGAATGAACGAACGAACAAATGAGGAGAAAGAGGCCAGAGAAAATTGTCAGATTAGGAAGAAAGTACCTGGACCAGGTGGTCCAGAGGAGAAAGAAATATGTGATAACTGTGTCTTCCTGACCACCCTACAAGTGGACATCAGAAAGCTTACAGGATATTTAATTATGTCTTTTGATGCATTGGACAGCCCTGTAAGATGGACAAAGTTGAAGTTTCTTTTTTCATCTTACTTAGCATATATAATGTGTATGTATATATATTCTATACACATAACATACATACATAAGCATATTACACACACACGTATACACATATACATATACATACTAGAAGGCAAGAGAGCACATTCCTTCTGAAGCACATCATTGCACTTTGGTGTAATGGTCTCTCTTGGTCTTGACTGCAGAGATATCACTTTATGGCTATGGGATGAGCCAGAGAACTGAACAATGTCTTGTGTGTGTGTGTGTGTGTGTGTGTGTGTGTGTGTGTGTGATGTACGCATGTTATAGTATGTGTTTGTGTGCTTTTCCCTGAGTGTACACATGTCTACCCCTGCCCACCTTCTGTTTTTGACATAAGCTCCCTTGAGTTCCTGAAGTCACTGTTTTGACTAGGCTAGATGCCCAGCAAGCTCCCAGGAGGCACTGTTTCTGCCTACCCTCCGTGCTGGGGTAACAGATGAATGCTGCCCTGCCAGCTTTTACATAGGAACTGGGGACCCATACGAAGGTTCTTAGGCTTTTATAGCAGACTTTTTACCTGCCGAGCCCCCCAGAAGAGTGTCTCAAATAGAGCTCAGCTCTTTGCCCCTTGGAGACATAGTGGCTGGTAGTCTTGTTTTCCAGGTTTTTCTTGGAATGAGACAACATGCTCTCATCTGGTGGGTACTGATACATACACTACCTGGCCCACGAGTCGGGAGGCAGAGCGTGAAGTAGGGCCACACACCCAGACAACTCTTCTAGACAGTGAAGGGCCATCTAGAGAAGCATTTGAGTATGCCCCCTCCCACTGGTCACGGTGCTCCCAGTCCCTGACATCTCAACTGATAGGGAGGTGGAGGCAGGAGGATTACAAGTTTATTAGTAGACCAACCTGGGCAGCAATTTAGTGAGCCCTTCCTTGACTCAGAGAGTAGAAAGAAGCCTAGGGATATAGCCAGCGGTGGAGTACTTCCTGACACCCACAGTGTTTAATGCATATATGGAGAGAAGAGAGAGGAAGAAGGGAGAGGTCAGGTAAGAAGGATGAAATGAAGAAGGAATGAAGGAATTAGGAAAGGAGGAGGAAGAAGGACAGGAGGGCCCCTCTTCCCCTTCGTCTTTCCACACATGCATCCATTTTCCACGGTTCACCACGTAGCTGGCAGCCAACTCCTAGCAGTTCCGCTGGTCACTTTTTGGAAACCCCAGAAAGTGGCTGCTGAGCGTAGTGCAGCTCAGACTATACCCACTAGCAGGGAGAGCTGTCCCCTTATTTGGTCTTCCTTCCATTCGGGCTCCATAAAGAGACGGTGGCTCTGAAAGGGCCCTCTGATCAGATGTTAGCCAGGCCCTCTGAGACATTTCTTCTAACAGCCTTTCTGTATGCTTCAAAGATGTACATCCAGGCCTACAAGAGCAGCAACCTGCGCATGAAGATCATCAAGAACGACTTCCCTAGCCACCCCCTCTACCTGGAGGGGGCCCTCACCAGGAGCACCCACTACCAGCAGTACCAGCCCGTCATTACCCTGCAAAAGGGCTACACCATCCACTGGGACCAGACAGCCCCAGCTGAGCTTGCTATCTGGCTCATCAACTTCAACAAGTGAGTTTGGGCAGCCAGGACCACGTGACCCAGGACAGTGGCACTGGCTGAGCTTAGGCAGAGACAGTGAGAACTCCTCGTGGTTAGTGGGGACATCAGGCTGGTCCCTCTCAGCCCTGTAGGAGGTATCCAAAGAGGTTCTCGTCACCCACCGTGTCTTTGAGAACCCAGAGACATGGGCTCAGGATGCATACGGGGTCAGCCTCAGGCAAAACAGCTAACCTCTTAAAGGCTTGGGCATGATTATTGCCTCCCAAGTGCACAAAGCATATGTAGTGAGCTAGTGAGTATATGGTAACTGCCACCCAGCTCCGGGCATTACCGAGTGCTCAGGAAATGGGGAAAAGCTACAGGATGTTGCTGCTCTTATTTATGGGGAAGGGCACAAATCTCCGAGAAGATACCTTAATTACTTTTCTGTGGCTGTGGTAAGGTGTCCTAATAGAAGTAACTTAAGGAAGGAAGGACTTATGTCAGCTCCGGGGTTGATGTTAGTGTGTCACGGTGAGGGCATCGTGTTGGCCGGAGCTTGAGGCAGCTGGTCACATTGCACACAGAGAGCAGAGGGAGATGAACACTTTTTTTTAAATCTATTTATGTATTATGTATACAGTATTCTCAGTATTCTGTCTGCGTGTATGCCTGCAGGCCAGAAGAGGGCACCAGATCTCATTACAGATGGTTGTGAGCCACCATGTGGTTGCTGGGAACTGGAAGGACAGGCAGTGCTCTTAACCACTGAGCCATCTCTCCAGCCCCGAGATGCACACTTCTTAATTCAGTCTAGGACCCCTGTGGATGGAATGGTGTCACCCACGTTTAGGGAGGGTCTCCCCACCTCAATCAACCTAGTCAAGAAAAATCCCTCACAGGCTTGGTGAGAAGCTAGCCTAATCTAGATAATCCTTCCCAGTATGCCCTAGGGGATTACAGCTTTTCCCAGGCTGCTCAAAGACCTACCAAGTCCATCCATGGAAACCACGGTAAAGAGGAAGTAGTCAGGGTGAGGGCATCAGATCAACTGTATATGTTCACATTCAAACATTTCCTACATCCATCATGTACTCATCCCTGTGCTCCTGAGACAGACATTTATCTATTGCAGAAAGGAGGAGGAAGCTGGCCCTCCAATCATGCTCTGTCAGGAAGGGGCTGAGCTTAGCCCTCAGTGGCTTATGCGCTTTAATCATAGCCCAGTCGAAAGAACCCCATCATCCCAGCTAAAACCCACAGAGAGCACCTCTAGATCAGCCCTTGAATACTCATAGGTGACCCATCCCCATGGCCCTCCTTGGCCACTGGTGGTCGCCGTCCATCCTTCTCTCCTTGGACACTTTGCAACTTAGTAATTATTCTTTCAAACCTCCCCACTTAGAGTTCTTTGAGCATTCTTATTATGGTGCGCTCACCCTGGCCTGGACACCCTTGCCTAGAACTAACTCTGCCTCCTTTTCTAGGGGCGACTGGATCCGAGTGGGTCTCTGCTACCCAAGGGGCACCACCTTTTCCATCCTTTCAGATGTTCACAATCGCCTGCTGAAGCAAACATCCAAGACCGGGACCTTTGTGAGGACCCTGCAGATGGACAAGGTGGAGCAGAGCTATCCCGGCAGGAGCCACTACTACTGGGATGAGGATTCTGGGTAAGGAGGCTCCTCTGGTCTACAGAAGTGGGGCTCAGTTCCCTGTGTATCCTGGGTCTTCCCAGACTCCAGGAACCAGAGTGTAGTTGATACTGATGAGTACAGAATGCTTTCCTAGGCACTGTGATCCTAACGCCAACCATGGTCTCAACCACATAACACAGTCAAACACTCGAAGAGACATTAGCTTTCTATTAAATCTGCAAGTGGATTGTAGGAAAAAATTCAGAAAATAAAGTACAGGGAGTAAGGAAAAACAAATAAACGAATGTGGTATGCTATCCCCCAAACTCAAAAGAGAACAATCTTCTAATTTGAAGGTGGGAAAAGAAGAGACTGGAGACACAAGAGTGACTTGGTCAGGGGCCACAGCACAAACCTTCCCCAGCTGCATCTGAGTCTGACTATCTATTCCCCAAGCCCCCAACTCCTGCTGACCCTCACTTTGCTGAGATTAAAGATTCAATCCTTTAATGCCACACCCAGCAAAACAAAGGTTCTTGTTTTGTAGTGGCTTGAAACAACTCAGATGCAAGACAAGGTTCATTCCCTCATGGTCTCATATACATGAATATGTGTGCATATGCCAAGCCTCTTGTATCAGGGTCCTCTCTCAAGCTGCCTTCTTTTCTTGATTTCTGGAGAGGACAGTGGTACAAAATAGTCACAGCAGCCACCCCTCTCATGTCCTTACAACTCAGTTACCAACCAGTGAACGACAAGACCCAACACCTTCTTCAGTGTAGCTCACAAGAGAATGCATCCTCTTGTCTCCCTGTAGCCAATAAACAGCCTAATGAGTGTAGGCAGAGACTTGCTCATTCGTTTCCTGGCCCAAATAATAACACAGAAACTATGTTAGTTAGAGCACTATTGGGACAATAGCTTAGGCATAATTCTAGCTAACTCTTACATCTTAAATTAATCCATTTCTATTTATCGTGTATCGGCGCAAGGCTGTGGCTTACTGGTAAGGATCCAGCTTCTGGCGTCTTTCTCCTTCAGCAGCTACAAATTATCTCCTGAGTCCACCTATATCCCTGTCAGATTTCTAGCCTGGATTTACGCTACTAAGCCATTGGCCGAAACAGCTTCTTTAATAACCAATGGTAATAAAACGTATTTCTAGCATACAGAGGGGACTCCCACATCATAATGAGAATCCGGTGTGAGCGCCTACTCTGGTCAGAAGTGGGGTGGAGTAGGCTGTGTCACGTGGGCCCGAAACCAAGTGGGCTCATTAAAAGTTGGCTCCCCAAAAGGAAAGCGTAGAGACAGTCAGTCCTTATTATCATTAGATATTACAGACAAGACTTGAGAGCATTTTTCTGAGATGAAAGGAACAATAACAGATGCCAAGTTAGTTCTGCGGTGGCCTCATCGTCTGCCTCCTTGGAACATGGGTCAGCTTCCTTCCCCATAGTTATTATTAGAATAAGTTATGGCTTGAAGGAGAGTAGAGTTGGGATCCACACTGGGCTGGGAATACTCCCAGCTCTGTCAGTCCCCAGTGGGGCAGTTACTTCTCCAGGGCAATCCCCATCTGACAAGTCAGTGTGATAATGGCACACAGTGGGCAAAGTTGAGGATTAAATTAGATGATATATCAGTTTACAATTGCATGACACGTTTAGTCCTTAGAAAATATTTGCCAGCACTCTTAGCCCCGACTTGAATATATTCCTAAAATACATTTATTTTCTTCCTCCAACTGTATATGACTCTGTGACAGGCACAGTTCATGATTTAAAGCCCTCAAGAAGCAACCTCGGTGGCAAAGAGATTTTTTTTGATCTGCTTGTTCATTTGTTTTTCTGAGACAAGGTCTTGCTAGGTAGTCTACCTGGCCTTAAACTCAAGAAATAGACCAGGCTGGCCTTAAACTTGAGATGACCCTCCCACCTCTGCTTCCCAAGTGCTGGGATGACAGGCGGGAGCCACCCTGTCTGATTTGGGTGAGAAGGTTCTAAGTGTCCCGTAGGAACTCCCAGGCTCCTTCTATGCTTAGGTTGCTCTTCCTGAAGCTAAAAGCCCAGAACGAAAGAGAGAAGTTTGCCTTCTGCTCCATGAAGGGCTGTGAGCGAATTAAGATCAAAGCCCTCATCCCGAGGAATGCGGGCATCAGCGACTGCACAGCCACCGCTTACCCCAGGTTCACCGAGAGGGCCGTGGTGGATGTGCCGATGCCCAAGAAGCTCGTTGGAGCTCAGCTGGTAAGTGCCCATGCATGCCTCTGGGGGGAAGGGGAGCTCAGACCTAGCTGAGCTCCTCTCTGGACACCTACTTGGCCCCATGACTCAGTTCTGGGTCAAGGCCCAGGGCACACGAGGAGAAAGACCACCCAGACCTCACAGCCTCACTACTGTCCCATGCTTGTTTCTCAGAAGACAAAGGACCACTTCCTGGAAGTCAAGATGGAAAGTTCCAGGCAGCACTACTTCCACCTTCGGAACGACTTCGCATACATCGAAGTAAGCAGAGGTTCTGTGGGGACCAAGGCTGCTCACTGAGGTGGAGTGGGTGGATTATCTTCTTTCTGTCTTAACGTGAACACAGAACCTGCTGACTTACGGGAGGGAAGATGGGTCTTGGCTTGTGTTGCCAGAGAGCTCTGGTTTGTTGTAGCGAGGAAGGTACAACGGCACAGCTCAGTGCCCAGGGGCCTGCTGTCATGGTTGATTTTCCATTGCTGTGATAAAACACCACGACCCAGGTAACTTATAAACGAAAGGGTTTAGTGTGGGACTTGTGGTTTCAGAGGGCTAGCGTCCACGACAATGGAGAAAACATGGTGGTAAGAATAGCTGAGAGCTTCCATCTTGATCCACAAATAGGAGGCAGAGGGAGACACCGGGAATGGTGGGAGTCTTTTGAAACCTCTAAGCCTGTCCCTAGTGACACACCTCCTCTAACAAGGTCACACTTCCTAATCCTTCACAATCCATCCCATCAAATGGGGACCAAGCAGTCACATATATGGACCTACGGGAGCCTTGCTCATTCAAACCACAGCACCTGCTCAGGTAGCAGAAGCTGTTGACCTCCTGGGAGGACTGGGGAACTAAGAGAGAGGCAGAAACTAGGGCGTCAGGAATAACTTTTAAGGACCAATTCATAGTCACCGACTTCCTCCAGCTGATTCCCCTCCGGAAGGCTCCACACACTCCTGAAACATCCTCACCAGGTGGGGAGCAAAGGTTCAGAGCATGAGCCGGTGGGGGCGTGTCAGGTTAACCTGTAACAGGTGGTGTTGTGATGAATTGTCAACAAGCTGCACGGGTTAAGAGAAGAAGGTTTTCTTTGAGTTTGGGAAGCCCGCAAGCTAGCTCTAACTTCCAGTAACTCTAAGGACCTTTGGATAAGAGTCACTTTGCTGACGTCCTGGTCCCATCTTCATGAGGTCCCTTCCTCTTTTCCTATCCCATAACTGTCACAGTTCTTCTTAAGGGACCCCTATTGTTGGATTTAGTGCCTGCCCCAAACATTTGGGATGTTCCTGTCCTGAGATCCATAATATTGTCACCTCTGTATGTCACTAAGCATCTTCAGAAACATCATTTCTAGATAAAAATCAAATTCACAGGTTCCTAATGGGCATGTCTTTCTTTTTTGGGGGGCTCACTATTCAAACCTACAGATAGCACAGGAAAATAATGTGAGGGGGTCTCATAAACTGAGCAGCCGCTGTATAACCAAACTCTGTCTTTAGTGTCTATGTAGAAACCACACAGAAAGGAGACCCTTGGGGCCTCAGCTGCCCCAGGATCCTTCACGTCTGTGTTGCTTTGGCCCTGCAGGTGGATGGCAGGAAGTACCATTGCTCAGAAGATGGAATCCAGGTAGTGGTGATTGACGGGAACCGAGGTCATGTGGTGAGCCACGGGAGCTTCAGAAGTGCCATCCTGCAGGGTATACCCTGGCAGCTCTTCAACTATGTAGCAGCTATCCCTGACAAGTGAGTCTATGTTTCAGCTTTTGGCCTGTCCAGGAACACAATAGATTCCTGGCTAGGGCCCTGTCTGTCCTGTCCAACCCTTCGTGATACTTGCCAGTTGGGATGATCTGTGCCTACAGATTGTGCCTACTGTGTGGGGAGGCCGTCATGCCCGTCGCTGCTCCCGCTAGAGGCAGGGCCGCTGTGGATGTAGGTCAGGTGGAGGCATGGAGGACCTGCTGCCTCACACCTTGGAAGGTTGCCTGACCCTCTGCCCCCGTCACAACACTCTCTCCCAGTGATCTCATCCCTGCCCACGCCTCCAATAGGATCCAAATGCTGGTGGCTTCTGAAGTTCTCCAGCTTGGATCTCTTTCCTAAACCCGGAACGTTCCTATCCAATGGGTGCTTAGAGGATGCCCCCTAGATGTCTCTCGTGGAACTAAATTCTCATCCCCTTGCCTCTCCCTTTCATCCTTTAATCCTCCAGATCAACACTCCTTCTGTTGTCTTTTTCTAAATCATCATTCTCCCAGACATTTAGACCAGAATCTGAACTTAATCCTGGGTATCTTTCTTCCACCCCACATCCTAACCCAGTCCATTGCCCTCCCACCTGGTCAACCAACACCATGACCGAGGGTCCAAACCAACTCTTTTCTTCCCATCCCCCATACTGGACGTTAGTTTGAGCTTCTTAAATGTGAGGATCCTTGGTAGCCTCTCCTCGCCTCTTTTCGAGTCTAGCACAGCTGGGTCCCCCTCCCTGAGGTCTTTTCCCATCCATCCACCATCCTCCACAGGAATATTGCTTGAGCCAGAACCAGGAGCCTTGGCGGATGCCCCATCAAGGAATCACACTTCTTGATAGCGGCTCCATAATGGACTTAATTTACGCTCGCTGAGTCCCTGAACTGTCACGTGTGTGTAAGAAAAACCCTCTGCAGGCGCAAGCTGGTGAGGGAAAAGGCCCTGTGCAATTCGTGTGGCCCCTGTAATACCTACGTGCTTTGTAGTCAAAGAGTGGAGGGAGACAAGCACCCGTCTGGACGTACTCTGGGGCCCTGGGGGAACTGAGCTCCATGTGCGATTCTGGAGAAAGGTTTTGCTTGGTCACATTTGGTATCTGTTCTTCCCACAGCCAGTGTTCCTTTCATGTCATATTTACATGTATGTATGTGGAAGCCCACAGGTGTAGGTATATATGGCTGTGCACACATGTGTATGAAAGCCAGAAGACAGCCTTGGGTGCCATTCTTTAGGCGCTTAGAGAGTTTTTAGTTTTGGTTTTTTGGTTTTTGATTTAAAAAAAAAAAAAAAATCTCTTAGTGGCCCGGAACTCTCCAAGTAGGTGAGGCTGGCCGGCTAGCAAACCTCAGGAATCTGACGCTTGTCTCCAATTTCCCTAGCACTGAGGTTCTAAACACAGGTGCCACACCTGTCTTTATTTGACGTGGGTTCTGGGGTCAAATGCAGATCCTCATAAGACAAGCACATTTCCTTTAGGCCGAGCCAGTTCCCCATCCCCACACTTCAATTTTCATGCACAGGTTCATACAGAGGAATGCAGCTTTCCAAATGGAGGAAGCACATTTATTATCTAGATCAGTAGGTCTCGGGCCTTTTTTGGCCACAGGACTTTTTCTTGAAATGAACCAGAGCACAGAAGCTGGGAGTGAGAAACAGCTCCCAGAGCTGCTCTGTTCGGAGTCTTCGCACATCCCTAGGAGAAATGTAAATAGTCTCAGTCAGTCTTTGGCTGACAGAGGAGAAATGTAGAAATGTAGTCTTTGGCTGGCAGTGAAAGGGTATCTCCAACCCCTCCCTGGCCTCCTGGGAAGCAGCGATTGGGTGGGGCTGGAGAGGTGTTTCTGTTCTGCGACTCAGGCCCCACCCATCCCCAGGACCACCACTGTCCCCAGGGCCCCAGCAACTCCCACCATAGACACTGAGAATAGCTTCTGGGAACCCCTCTGACCTTCTACCTGTGTGAGACTATGCCAGCAGGCCCAGGGGCTGAGTGGTCAAGAGAATAATGTACCAGGCAGAGAGGCCCTGATATATAAACCATACCAGGAGGCTGTGTGATGGGCACACCTAGCTCCGTGCCCCTCCTCTGTCAGCTGGCCCAGATACCACCCTGAGTGTATGACCTTCCTTTGAGTTCTCTGCCACAGACCTTCAGTGTTTATTTTGAGTCTGAACAATGGGGAAATTTCCTCCTGGGAGCAGAGCCTGAATCCACCCCAAGGATGTGTTTGCAGTGAATTCTCTCTCACTTAATGGGCCTCAGCTTGCCAATCCCTTGGGCCTTCACCTTTGAGCCTTCTTAAAGAGCCCAAGACAGCCTCTCGGCTGCCCTCCCGTTTTCCCTTATTGTACCTAGTTCCCCTTCTGCTCCCAGTGGGACAAAGCTGGGGGTAAATGCGAGTTCCAGAATCCCGTACAGTTTTTCCATGTCTGGACTGTGGTCTGTGGTTTCAGAATTCCGTGGAGTTGGGAGTCGGAAGCCCTGTGGTGCTTCTGCCCTGTTTCTGTTCTGAGGGCTGTACTCACTCCCCACGTCTGGCCCAGCATGAGGCTGCCACTGAGGAGACTGTTTTCTTAGCCTTGGGACCTAAACACAGCCCAAAGCAGGAAGAAGAGCCTGACCACTCCCCCACTTAGACTTTGGCAAATTGGATTTTCTGCCCCCTGCCCTCCTGAGCGACCCCTCTGGGAAGCCCTCACAGATAGTGTGTGTCACTGTTTGGTCAATATCCCATTGACAAAATCAGACTGATCTTGCCCGACCAGAGAGGATAGTGACACACAACGGAGCCCATTCTGGAAATGCAGTGATTACATGGTGTTCTTCCCAGAATGCTCTCGAACTGGGTCACACTCTTCCCGCAGCTGAGAGGAGGCTGGGCTGTCCCAAGCCCAGTGCCATCCACAGAAACCACTCACACAGACCCCCGGCTCCACGCTTGCTGCACAAACATTAGGGCCTGCGCTCAGATCCCAGCAGCAGTGTAAAAGGCCACAGCTGTGCCTGTGAACTGTGGGAGACAGACAGGAGGACCGCTCCGGTTTGTAGGCTGCCAACCCAGAAGTTTCCGTGGGAGGCTCTGTCATAAGGGAGAGTAAGGTGGTGGAGGCTAGAACAAGGCATCTGACATCCTCCCATGGTTTCTACATGCACACGACACACAGATCCACACACCAAGAAAGATGGGGAGACGAGAGAGAGAGAGAGAGAGAGAGAGAAATATGGGTTCCACAGGAAACCTGGCACAGGGCATGGTCACTGTTCTTACAAATTCAGCCAAGATTGTGGGAACTAAGCTTGTAGGTCAGAAGGTCTGCTGTGAGTTGGCAGAATGGTCCCTAGGGACTCCCACATAGAGCCACTGAAGCAGGTCTCTAAGGCTCCATGCGTCAGGCACCCTTGATGGCTGCTCTTTCCTCTTCCCTGTATCCCCCATTCTCATTCCTTCTTTGCTCCTTCTGCCTTGGCTTTTTCCTTCGCCGTATTTCTGTTGGTTTCTATCCCAAACATAGCTGAGATTATTTGAATGAAGAAGTACATATTAACTGGGCATGGTAATGTATGCCTATAATCCCAGCACTGGGGAGGCAGAGGCAGGTGGATCTCAATGAGTTTTGAGGCCGGACTGATCTACATAGTAAATTCCAGGCCAGCCAGGGTCACATAGTGATTCCCTGTCTCAAACATAAATAAAAATAAGTAAATAAAATCAGAAAGAAAATGGGGAGAGAGGGAGGGAGGGAGGAAAAGAAGGAAACAAACGCATAACTACATACAAAGACGTGAAATAGCATGAAACTATGAGAAATTGTCTTAGGGCTTTCATTTTTGCAAAAAAAAAAAAAACCACCATGACCACAACAACTCATAAAGAAAACCTCCAACAAGGCCACGCCTCCTCAGAGTGCCACTTCTCTATGAGATTATGGGGGCCAATTACATGCAAACTACCACATTAATGCATCTCAAGTAGAAATGTCTTGAATAAACCTATTTTGTGTGTGTGTGTGTGTGTGTGTGTGTGTGTGTGTGTGTGTGTGTGTGTGTGTGTGTGAGAGAGAGAGAGAGAGAGAGAGAGAGAGAGAGAGAGAGAGAGAGAGAGAGAGAGAGAGAGAGACTGACTGTGAGCCCCAGAACAGGACCTGGTATCCTGGTATGGCACCCTGAGAGAACATGCTCCTTACACATACTCTTCTACAAATAAGAGCAAGGATCCCTCTCTCTAGGCTTGAGAAGGCCAGGGACACCAGATGTTGGGGGATCCCTATCACCGAAAGGAAAGAGTACGTTGGATAAGACAGAGGGAGGATACCCTTTCTCAAGTCCCTGGCCAGGCCTGGGCACTGCACCTCGGGTTCTACCCAAGGCCAGCATCGCTCCCACATCTACCCCTCGCTGCAGTTTCCTCTCGCTCCTGTCGTCTGTCGTCTGACCAGTCCCCTTCTTTCTCAGTTCCATAGTTCTTATGGCATCCAAGGGCAGATACGTCACCAGAGGCCACTGGACCAGAGTGCTGGAAAAGCTTGGGGCAGACAAAGGTCTCAAGTTGAAAGGTGAGTCGGAGTGAGGTGTAAGCTGACCTCAGAACCAGGGGCAGATGGGGTGGAGATACCGTTACCCTTACTGCATCCATGACACCTTTTCCCACTAGGCTTGGGTAGAGCCCCAGAATCCTCAGCAGCGCCAGGGACCTCCTGGCCTGGTGCCAGCTGCTCACCATCCCTGCACTACAACACATTCATTCATTTTCCCCTGGGACCAGACACTGGCAGAATACTTCCAAAGCTTTTTACCCCCTCCACTCCACAAGCAGAAGCGCCATCATAAACTGCCTTTGTCAGACCGTTCAGCCTGGTCAAGGGCCTGCATCCTCCTCATAAGTCTGGCTCGTGTCTGCTTTTGTAGCATCTATTACAGTTGGAAAAAAAATCTTACTTGTCTTCTGAGACAGGAAGAGAAGAGAGAATTAAATCCCAGACACCCCTCCATGCTTTTGAGGGTTGCACAGCACCTCTTCTGTGATGAAACCCAACCCCGATTTCCTGGAGATACTGGATAAAGCCAGCCAGCTATATATATCCACCTGATGCTGATGTATCATAGATTGTTCAGAGCAAGACCCCAGGGAGATTTAACAAGAGGGAGCAGATGTGTGAGTGAGAATTACCGTGATAGCGACCACTTGGTGCCAGCCTCGCGCCGTGATGAACTTTTAATAATTACCTCCTGCATTGACAAATAACTCGGGCAGCGGGCATGGTTCCCTCCACAGAGGAGGAAGAATTCAACAGTTACCTAGGGAGATGCTTGCTTGGATACGGACCCTACCTTCCTGAGCCAGGTCCTGACTAACTATGCCCCGATTATAATGAACAGCAAAACCAGCTACCCATCATGGCAATACTTATCCCATTGGCAGCAGGCAGAGAAAAATCCTGAAAGATAAAAAGCCTACCACAGCAGCCAGTAGAGAGAGGGAACCTTGCTTCCCCAGGCCTATTTCCAGGCTTCTATCTGTTAAATTAAGATGCTGTTGCCCAGGGCTCAGATATACAATGGCCAGCGTCAAGTGGTACTTGTCCAGAGGTGAGAGGTGTGCACTGCCTTCCAGCCTGAGCCACTCCTGATGTATACATGGACCTCCAGGTCACTGGAGTGCAGGGCAGACACCATGCAGCACGGAAGCCTAAGAGCTGGCTCTTACTCAGTCCCACATTATGTGTCGTGCATGTCCTGGGAAGATCCTTCCTCCCTCTTAGAGCCACAAAGTGACAGAGCTGAGGATGAGATCTTGAAGACAAGTGCCACCGCTTCACAGGTGGAGTCCTAGGCTACGGAGACTTTCTGGTGCCCGCAGGTCAGCTGGACGGCAGGCAGGCAGGAATCCTACTGGCACCCTTCCCTCCCCATCCACCCCGTCTCCTGCTGTGCATGGCTCTCCTGTAGCAGACAGAGCCTCTGCCCCTCTGAGGTGGCAATGAGGCCCAAGTGATACCTACAGGCCCCATACAAAAATCCAGTCTGAGCACCAGCTGGGCTGAGAGCTTACCCAAGAGGGACACAGCCCAATGGAGCTGGGAAGGGATCGCTTCATCAGGGCAAAGGATGCTGACGGGGAGTGCTAGGGTGTGGCAGGCAGCGTTTTCACCCGCCTGCTTTCTCCCTTGACAGAAAAAATGGTGTTTGTCGGCTTCAAAGGCAGCTTCCGACCCACCTGGGTGACTCTGGAGACGGACGAACACAAGGCCAAAATCTTCCAAGTGGTACCCATCCCAGTGGTGAGGAAAAAGAAGTTATAAGGACAGCGGCCACTTGTCAACACCCCAGGCTGGACTCCTACAGCAGCCAGGGACAGAATGCCTGGGTCCCCTGGTTGTCAGCCCCGCTCGGCTAAGGCACAGATATCAAAGACCTCGGTGCTGCCACCTGCCCCCAACTCAAGTCTACCTGCGGCAACCCGGGCAGTGTTGGCTGATACTACGACCTCTCTTTCTTGGGTGCTTCTCTCCTGCCTGTGCCTCATCAGGAGAGGCTCGGGGACCATACAAAGAGACCTGGGTTGTGCTGCCAGCAAACAGCCACTGTGGCAGGAGTCTGACCCCAGATGGGAGGGGGTCCAGATGATGGGACCACTCCCAGATTTCCACAGCCACTTGCGGACACATTAAGTGGCGGATGGAGGGAAGGCCATCTTTACTCCTTTAAGCGTGGATAAGGCTTCTTGGGGTTAGGAGCTGGCGTGCAGACAGAGCTGGCCAGAGTGGCAGACTGTGCTGGGGAGGAGATGGAGTCCTCTGTTCTGAGAGGCTCCCTTTTCAAGACTTCAGCTGGTACATTGCAGTGGGACTAGGTGGCTCCTGGTGGCCCTTCCTGGGACTGCAGAACTCGACAGTGTTTTGCTCTGTTCACACTACCCAGGAGCATGGGGGAAGGCTTCTTCTGGGGCGCCGTGGTGCTGGCAGGAAGGAAGGACAGAGATGGTAGAGAGAGATGAGGTAGTCTCTGTCGTGGTCCAGAGGTGGAAGGCTTTCCTGCTGCTGCCTGTAGCCTCTGTGTCACGGCAGGTTACCGTGCCTTCCACGGCTGACCCACTTGTGATAGAGAAGCAGGGTCGGCAGAGGGAAAAGGGCTGAGCTGCGGTGCGCAGAACCTAGTTCACAGTGGTCTCCAGCCAGCCCCCTCTGACTCCGAGAGAGGGCAGAGAGAAGTTCACAGACCTGAGCCTCTACAATGGGCCTCCAGAGTCTACTCTCCTCCAAGAGCAGAGTAGACAACTCCAGGATATCTGAGCATGCTCACACCACGGTGAACCTGGGGTGTCAGATCTCCAGAGAGAGCCTTGGGGACTCCTGGAGGACATCCCAGTCCAGAGCTTTGCGCCTACATCTGAGGAGAGTAAGACCCGAGATGGGGAAGAATCACATGACCAGACCCATGAATCCCGATCTCAGTATACACTGCCACATCATGGCGCCTCAGCAGCTAGCCCGGGGTGTCCAGTGCTGAAGGAGCTGCCAGAAGGGGGCGTATCCCGTGCAGCGGGGAGAAGAGGTCAGAATAGAATGATCTTTTGTAAAGGGCTTTTTCCATCTTGCACCTCAGTGCACACTGCCCGCTCTCCTCCAGGCACTAACCCTGCCATCTTCTCTTTCTTCAAACTGCCTGCCTCCCTTGGGCATGGGCTGCTCATGACTGTGGAACCCTCTTGGTGCTATCGTATTCCACGGCGGTGCTGGAAAGCCCAGGGGCTATCATCCGGGTATGCCAATGCTCTTCTGGTGGGCCAAATTGGCTTTTCACGGGGATCTGAGCATGGTTGGTTCCGGCCCAGGGTCTCTCAGCTAGTGTGCACCCCATCTGAGCAAATAGCTCAGAGGAGCAGAAACTATCCATGTTTGATGCTCTTCTGGGGTATCAGGTATTCCATGGGGTTCATAAATGGCATGGGTCCCCTTTCCTTCCCAACCACAAATTCCTTCAAAGACTTTCTTGGTCCTCTTTGCCCAGCGGTGCCAAGGAGCCTTATTCCCAGAGCCCACTCCCCAGGCTGAGCCAAATCCCAGAGGGTCTTTCCCACTGAAGGGACCCAGCGTCTTAAGAGAGGGTTGCTTCAGTGGCCAACATCAGAGGAAAGACCTCTTCTGGGGAGATGCGTGGGAGTGGGGAAGGGTATAAAAGTGACCTCATCTTTTTCTTGTTGAAGCTTCATTGAATTTTCAATGCGAGGGGCTCACATTGTGAGCCACTTAAGATGCGATCGGTTTCCGGTGGCCGTGAATGTTGAATGTCTTTGGCTCGGTTCATTTCAGCAAATACCTATTGGAAAGTTCTCCAGGTTTGTACATATGTTGAACAGTGCGGAATTCTGTACAGAAAGGGTTCTTTCCTAAACCATCCACCAGAGTCCCTGGTCCAGGCATTTTCTTGGTAGTATAAATGTCTTTCTTGCTTAGAAAGTTGCTTTGTCTCTTGTGTTCATCAGCATTGCCACTGATTTGGGGGCCTTTGATTGAAAGGCTCCTGAAGGGCTCATCTTTCTGTTGGCTAAATAGCTGGTCCTTTCTCTGAAATTGGATGTACAGCATGTTTTGTATGTAAATGTTTCTTGTGGGTGTCACCATGAACAAAGGTCTATTTTCTATTTATTTATTGTATATGTACTTCAGGAGGAGTGAAGAATCATCTTAAGTATTGTGTCAGAGGATGTCCTTTGGAGCACTGGGAAGGGGTGTGCCCAGAGCTGAGGACATCAGCTCTGGTTTGGAAAAATTCTGCTGTACCATATGAAACATACAAAAAATGTCATTGTCTTGTCTGCGTAGTTCATTTCCTGGGACAGTGAGTCTCGTGTTAAACCATTTGTCTGTGGAAAATAAGATGGAAATCACCCAAGTCTGTCTGCCCCACTTACTTCCTAGTCTTGTTCTCAAGAGCCATTTGTGTATCCGAATCCCACCTCGCTCGCATCCCACAGGAGCACTGGGAAGAGCAGAGGGGGGAGGGTGTGCTGGCGGAGAAGACGCTATTTGTGTGATCAGGCAAAGACTCTTGCCTTATCCCCATGTCCCTAAGCCACCAGGATGCTCTCAATTATCCCTCTCCTACTGGGGAATCTGGGGGAGGCATCACACCGTGGAGCCAGAAGACCAACTGCCCTTCCTCTCAGGTCCTGACCACAGGACAAACTCCACGTCTGAGAGGGGCGTGGGCACAGAGGTAGAGAAACAAGGCCAACCTGAACCCCAGACAAGGGCTAGGGATAGGTGGAATGGGCTCCGGAGGGGAGTGAGGAGGCACACTGAGCAGAGTGAGACGGTCTGAATGACTCTTGGATACTGACATTTAAGAACAATGTAAAATATAGTTCCTTATCCATATTGGTCACACTGCATATTCTCCACGGCTGGAGGAATCTAGTGAACGTCATTGTTGACTGTGTGGATATAAAGCATGTCCCGGTGGGTTCCTGGGGACTGTGTCAAAAGCAACAAGATGTCCCCTGGGTCCACTCTGGTCAAGTATTGTTTCTTTAAAACTTTGGATCCTCCTGGGAGTTGCAAGGTCCTATAGAGCCCAGGGGGTAAAAGTACTTGCTGGTGTCCTCAGTTTCATCCCCAACCATGTACTGTCACACACACAAACCCTAATAAATACAATTTATTTTCTTTAAAGACCTAGTCTCAAGGAAAGACAGGAGAGGGAGGAGAACAGGGGAGCAGGGGAGAAACTTTAGCATTGGGAAGCAATCACGTTTGAACTCTTGTCCTATGCCAGACACCATGCCCCAAAAGCAACAGTAAACAGTAAAATATGCCAGGGCATTCCCAGGGAGGGGTGTAGCAGGATTCTTTAAGTAGGGAGGAATTTTAATGTCAGTTAGAATCACCACAAAGGCCAATAGGCTGGGCAGAGATATCAGGGTTCACCTCAGAGTCATGTAGGACAAGAAAGGGACCTTTACAGTCCAGCCAGGGGGTAGTGACCAGAGTTTGAAGACTTGAGGACATCCAAGCATAAAATGTGCTACCTTGCAAGAGGGCTGGGTAGGAAGCAGGCAGGGCAAGACACCAGATGATGATGAAATGATGGGTAGAGATGCCCTAAGATTCTCAGCCAAAAATGTCCCCTCCCCATCAGTTTAGTAGGGGATTCATTGTAGGAGTTTGACAGCCTTTCCTGTATCAAACAGTGGCTAAGAGAGAAGCACATGGAAGTCACATGAGAGACTTCCACAGCAAAATGTCAAATTTGCAGGTGCGTTGGAAATTACTGGAGCTTTGCGAATGAAGCATATTATAACTCTAGTAAGTAGTTTTATATTGTTTGGCTTATTGAGAAGATAAGATGAAATACATTTTCATTTTTCAGATCTATACACTTTTTTTTCTTTTTCAACTTACGCTGACATATACAAGTAAGGGCCAAATCAGTAACAGAGACCCCTGGATGAACTGTCAGGAGGCCTTTGACAGGTGATTGCCACTGCCAATTGGATCCAAATGTGACTAGAACGGACCCTGACGACCTTCGGTTGTTTCTGATACGGTCACCAGGTCCTCACGAGGAGGAGCTGTAGAGCACTGGGCAAGCTCCTAGCCCCTGTCTAGATGCTGGCTGGAGGCTGGCTGGCTGGCTGGCTGGCGATGCGCTCAACACCACCAGGGAAGAGGTGAAGGCAGAGGAGGCTCCATGGAAGGAGCAAGATGGCACTGCGGAGGGTTCTGTGGACATTGCCTCCTGAGGACCTCATGATACAGCCCGGAGGCAAAAATGAAGGGAGACCTTCTACAGTTTGGGCGGAGTCAGTGAGGGAGGGTCACTCCGAGAAAACATGGATTGGCCTTAGGTGGTCAGGAAGGTTACAGCTAAGTTCTGTTTAAATGCCCTGGTAAGCCATCTAAGGAACTCAGGAGTATTTATCCCAGTTACTAACAGGGCAGTCTTGGCTGGGCACGAAAGAGTCCTTAGGTGACAAATTCCTACCTCTCCATCCCTAACCACCACCTCGGGGCCCCAGATTAGTCCCAAGACAGAACTCTTGTCTTTTCTCCTCCTTCCTCTCCTCTCCCCTGGGCCTTGAGGATCTCTTTGTCTCTCCACGTGGCACACCCATCCCTCACTCTCCCCCACTTTGCTCATGAGCTCCAACAAAGCACCCAACCCAGCCCCTGGCCCAGGATCCTGGGGTTTGTAGCTTCTGTGGGCTGTCACCCTTCCCGCTGCCCCCAGGTGGTGGCTTCCTGAAAATAGGGACCTCTGCCTTTCTTATCTGAGATTGATTGCTCTGTGCCCGGGTGTTGACTAGATTCCCCTTCTGCTACCACCAGTGAGGCCAGGATTCTACTAGCTGCCTGTAACCCCAGCTCAGTCCCCGCCCTGCAGGCTGGGAAAATGGGAGGTCCTCACCAGGAAAAGCAATGGGATATGGGAGGGAGGAGCACCTCCTGAAGAAGAGAGTCCCGTGACCACAGACTGTGTTGGGGGTAAGGGAGGAAGAGAAGAGCGGAGTGGAGAGAGAGAGAGAGTTCCCTGTTCCCAGAAACTTCCAGAAGCACCTTTCAGAATCAAGACCCCTCACACACTCTGTCTGCAGCTGCTGCTGAACACCAGCATCAGGAAGGCAGGCTATTGGGACTGGGGATTTAGCTCCAGGTAGAACACTTGGCCTGACTCTGGTCCTCCTCACTGAAGGAAATCCAAGCTCTCAGCACCCCCTACCGTGTACACAACACATGCTGCATTCTGTTTTGTTTTATTTTAAAGGATGTGTCTGGGGAGACGGCTTGCTCTGTGCAGTGCATGTATGTAAACATGAGAACCTGAATTCACATCCCCAGCATCCATGTACAAGTCAGTGTTGGGGCTGGACACACGGTGCAGCTCTTGCAGAGGACCAGGGTTTGGTTCCCAGCAACCAAGTGTGGTAGGTTACAATAACGCATAACTCTAGCTCTGGGACATTTGACGCCCTCTTCTGGCTTATGCAGGAACCTGCACTCCACTCCCATGCACCGTACACAGACACACAGAGACACAAGCACAGACACAAACAGATCAAAATGAACCAACGGTTGGGGAACCGGAGAAATGGTTGGGTGGTTTAAGAGCACACACTGCCCTTCAGAGAACCAGAGTTCAGACTCCAGAACCCTTGCTGGGTGACTCACAACCATGGGCAACTCCAGCTCTGCAGGGGTGTGGGAGGGGGCATCCAATACCCACAGCCTCTTTTGGCCTCTGAAGGTCTGCACACTTGTAGCACCCTGTACTGGGCTAGTTTTGTGTCGACTAGATATGAGCTAGAATCCCCAGAGAAAAGGGAGCCCAAACTGAAAAAAATGCCTCCTCCGTAAGATCAGGCTGTAGGCAAGTCTGTAGAGTGTTTTCTTAAACTGTGATTGATGAGGAAGGGCCCAGCCCATTGTGGGTGGGGCCACCCCTGGGCTGGTAGTCCTGGGTTCTATCCAAAAGCAGCCTGAGCAAGCCTCGGGGAGCAAGCCAGTAAGCAGTACCCCTCCATAGTCTCCGCATCAGCTCCTGCCTTCAGGTTCTGCCCTGTTTGAGTTTCTACCCTCACTGTTTTGGATGACAAACTGTTCTATGGAAGTGTGAGCGAAATAAACCCGTTCCTCTCCAAGCTGCTTTTGGTCTTGGTGTTTCATCACAACTACAGTAACCCTGACTAAGAGATTCAGATATATACATAAAGAGAACAAAATAAATCTGTTTCACTAATTATTTACGAGGGGATGTGTGATGTGCTCGTGAGTACTTGGGAAGCTGTCAGGGACCAGCCTCAACAAAATTACCTTTCTTCCAGAGTGGAGGCATTGGGAATTTAGAAATACAGTAAAGAATACAAAGACGTAAACAAAAATAATAAAACACAGAAACACATAGGATAGTATCAGGAGGGAATTTCAGTGAAAATTCATCCGTGTTTAATTTTCAACAGGTAGGAGTAGAACAAAAGGACTACACTAATGTACAAATTGAAAGTCCAGGGTACAGTCAATGCTTGTGCCCCAGACTCTTGCCCTAGACCAAACACCCTGTACGCAAACCACTCCCTGGGTGGAATCCCAAGTTATTTCCATAAAGGGAACCGGAACTTAGTTGGATCCTTAGATTTTTGTTTTGGGTAGGAACCAACTACTTCCCTATTCCCAGAGCACAGGGTCCGGCAACTAGCCACACCTGTTGACAATAGCCTTGAGAGAGCAGAACTCTTGATTTACAACAAGCTGGGGCCTTTGAGTTAGAAGCCCAATAATCTCCAACTAAAAACAAGTCCTAAAGTCTCTGACCTTTGGCCTCTTTGGGTCTCCACAGAAGGTGAGATTTCAGATTCCTCTGGAACCGGAGTTCCAGGCTGTTGTGAGCTACTTCATATGGGTGTTGTAAACAGGATCTGGGTCCCTCCTCAAGCACAGCCCATGCTTTTAAACCCCCGAGTCGTCTCTCCAGCTCCATATGCGCCTCATCTTAAGTGAGCCCCAGAACAGTTGCCCGCATGGTCAAGTGTGGCTCGCTTTGAGAGTCACCTAGAGCGTAGGAAACAGGCTTGCCACGGGTGTGTCAAATGGGCTGCTTAGCCATTATTTAGCTGTCCAGCTACTACCCCACATTGCCACCCCCTCTCCTGTCATCTCCCAGATCCCCAACTCACTAAATTCATAAAGAAAAGGGACGAAGCAGTCTACAGAAAAACTGGTACTAGGTACCATCCAGAATAAGAGCAGAAGAAAATAGGCCTGGCATCCAAATGCTTGAGAGGGATGGGTAGCACTTGGGTGTGCTCTTCCTGAAACAATG